GACCCCCGGTGATGGCAGCACCCCAAGGGTCTCACCCCATGATTCCTGCCTGGATTCAGCCATTCCAGAGGATTTTCAGCTCCCTCTGTGCGCCCAGCCCCGCTCCCAGAGGAGTGAGTGGGGTGTGAGGTGGGCAGGGAGGGCAGCGCGGCCGCTGCAGGGGCAGTTCCAGCCGGCGGGGCAGCAAAGGCGCTCCAAGGCCGTTCCTCTGCTCTCATTGGCTGCTTTGGCTCCGTTTGTCCGTCTGTCCGTGCTGCCTCTCTCATCCCACTGCGGATGCAGCTTCGGATTCCCAATGAGAAAAAAATCTCAAACCTGAGCCAAGGAAGGGTAATTTTAGGGGAGTTGATTTTTTTCTTTTTTCTTTTTTTTTTCTTTTTATTATTTTTTTTCCCTTCCTCCCCACTTGGCAACATAAACAGCATCCCTGACAGCTTTACATTGAGTTTGCCATGGCAACCTCCGGCAGCCAAGTGTTCCCAACACCCCATTCCCAAACTGGGAGAGGCGATGGACCCTGGTGGGTGTTGCTGAGGGGGGCAGAGTGTGGGGCTGGCATCCAGGTACTTGGGGAAGGTGATGCCACCTTGATCCACCTGATCCCAGCTGGGATTTGTGGCTCTGGGCAGGGAATGTGGTGGCTGGTGATGCTTCTCCTTGGCCTGGTGGTGGGAGATGTCCCAGCTGGGGCACGGATTTCATCAATGGAAGAACCTCCTGAGCTTGGGCAGGGATTGCTCCATCTCAGACCATCCGTGGGAGGATGGAGCAGTGCTCCCATCCAGGATCTGATCTGATATCCTGGGGCAGGAGGATCCCTGTCCTTACCCAGGGACCCAACCACGGCTGCTCCTGGCACGTGCCAGGCTCTTGGTGCCATCAGCAGCGCCACAGGCTTGGCAGCAGGGCCACCCACGCCGTGGCTGAAGTTGTCACTTGTGGCATCTCCAGCTGATTAATTTTTCCTCATCACTTTTCTCCAAGGTTGAATCCAGCAGGTGCTGGGGCTGGGGTGGTGGCCCCGGCCCTGGGCACTGTCCCTGGCAGGACAGAGGTGCCCCTGGCAGGACAGAGGTGCTGTGCTGCCGTTTATTATTCCGGGCAGGTTCAGCTGCAGCACCGGCTCCGCCGCTCCTCGCCAGCTCCTCCTGCCTGGAGCCCTCACGCTCCTTCCTCCCCTCACACCCCTCTCCTGCTCCTCCCTCCCCTCACACTCCTCTCCTTCCTCCCCTCACACCCCTCTCCTGCTCCTTCCTCCCCTCACACTCCTCTTCTTCCTCCCCTCACACCCCTCTCCTGCTCCTTCCTCCCTTCACACCCCTCTCCTGCTCCTTCCTCCCCTCACACCCCTCTCCTGCTCCTTCCTCCCCTCACACTCCTCTTCTTCCTCCCTTCACACCCCTCTCCTGCTCCTTCCTCCCTTCACACCCCTCTCCTGCTCCTTCCTCCCCTCACACTCCTCTTCTTCCTCCCTTCACACCCCTCTCCTGCTCCTTCCTCCCTTCACACCCCTCTCCTGCTCCTTCCTCCCCTCACACTCCTCTTCTTCCTCCCTTCACACCCCTCTCCTGCTCCTTCCTCCCCTCACACCCCTCTCCTGCTCCTCCCTCCCCTCACACTCCTCTCCTTCCTCCCCTCACACCCCACCAGGCTCCAGGTGGGTCCCCAGCTCAGGGATGGCATTTGGGAGGTGACACACACACACAGCTGGTGTCACACACACAGGGAGCTCAGTCCCTCTCCCACCTGGGCTGTTTTCTTCCCTCAGGGAGAGTTTGTTCCTCTCCAGGGCCTGGGGGCTCTGGGAATGGATTCCCAGAGTGAAGGACAGAACGTGCTGGGGTCACTGGGAGCTCCTCAGAGCAATGGCTCTGATCTGGGTGGATCCCCTGGGAATGGGGCTGTGATCCCAAAAGGGCTGGGGGAGGATGCTCAGAGCAGACAGGAACCATCCCACACCTCAGTCCCAGGCTGGGATTGCAGGGTGGGACACAGGGATGATGCTGGGTCCCTCCTTTCCCCCGGGACAGAGCAAATTCCAGGCTGAAATCTCACAGTGGGACACAAGGATGGTGCTGAATCCCTCCTTTCCCCCCAGGATACAGCAAATTCCAAGCTGGAATCTCACAGTGGGACACAGGGATGGTGCTGGGTCCCTCCTTTTCCCCCGGGACAGAGCAAATTCCAGGCTGGAATCTCTCAGTGGGACACAGGGATGGTGCTGGATCCCTCCTTTTCCCCCGGGACAGAGCAAATTCCAGGCTGGAATCTCACAGTGGGACACAGGGATGGTGCTGATCGCTGCTCCCTGAGCTCTGTCAGGGGTAATTAAGGGCTAGGCCGTTACAGTATTAATTAACTGTCTCCCTCTTAACCTCTGAGCGCTCCTCAGCTCCTCAGACAGCGCCGGTTGCTATGAAAGAGGAGGAAATGAGCGTGGTGGGGTGGGGGAATTAGCGTTTTTTCTCTTAATCAGCAGGAGCCTGCTTAATTGGGCCTGCCACCTCCTGCTTCCCGCTGCTGGGAGCTGCTGCCTTGCAGGGATGGATGAGCTCAGCTCCAGGAGCAGCCGTGGGATAACGGGGCTGGGGATGGGCAGGGATCCCTGCTGGATGGGGCAGCAGAAACGCTCTGGCCCGAGGAGTTTGGGTGTCCAGGAGCTGCAGTGTCCCCATCCCTGTGTCCTTCCATCCCTGTGTCCTTCCATCCCTGTGTCCCATCCCTGTGTCCCATCCCTGTGTCCCATCCCTGTGTCCCATCCCTGTGTCCCTATTCCTGTGTCCCATCCTTGTGTCCTTCCATCCCTGTGTCCCATCTCCATGTTCTTTCATCCCTGTGTCCCTGTTCCTGTGTCCCTATCCCTGTGTCCTTCCATCCCTGTGTCCCTATCCCTGTCCTCCCCTCCCCGTTTTCCCCATCCCCATCTCCACCATCCCCATGCTCCCCATCCCCATTTTCCCTATTCCTGTGTCCCCCCATCCCCATTCTCCCAATCCCTGTGTCCCATCCCCATTCTCCCAATCCCTCTGCTCCCATCCCAGTGTCCCCATCCCTGTCCCCCATCCCTGCTCCCCCCTCCCTGCAGCTGGGGCACAGGTCCCTCCCGAGGTGGGGACATTCTGGCGGTGTCACTGCTGTCCCCGAGGTGCAGTTGGTGCCTGTGGTGCCCTGATAGTGCCGGGAGCTGCCCTGGGGGTGCTGCTGGTGGGATAAGGAGGGCCAGGCAGGGGGGGTTTGGTTCTTTGGGGTTGTGCTGCCCCAGAGATTGAAAAGTCCCTGGGGCTGGGGCTGGAGTTGGGGCAGTTTGGGCCAGGACAGTTTGGGACAGCCCTGGGGCTGGAACTAGGGCAGTTTGGGACAACTCTGGGGCTGAAATTTGGGCGGTTTGGGATGGGGCAGTTTGGGACAGCCCTGGGACTGAAATTGGGGCAGTTTGGGACAACCCTGGGGCTGGAATCGAGGCAGTTTGGCATGGGGCAGTTTGGGACTGCCCTGGGGCTGGAACTGGGGCTGTTGATGACAGCCCTGTGCTGATTTGGTGCCTTTCTGTGGGGTTTCTGAGGGCTGGTGCACCCCACGTGTTCTGGGATCAGCCGTGGACGTTCTCCCTCCTCCCTCCTGTCCCTCCCCAGCCTGCTCTGTCACCCCTGGGCCCCGTCTGGGGCGGATGCTGCTGGAGTGGCCGTTCCCCTGTTGTTCTTTATTTATTTTGCCCTCAGAAAATTTTTATTTTCTCTCCATGAGAGCCTCCCCTCGCAGCCTTTTTGCCTCTGGAGTGCCGGGAGCTTCCCTGGAGCTTGGGAACACAGCTAACCCTGGCTGACAAAAAGCCCTTTTTCCCTCTGGCCTGTGCTGTTCCCTTCATGTCCCTATTTGTCCCTCAGAACTCTGAGATGCCAGCAGGGAATCCCAGCCCCCAAATCCCTGAGGAATGGGGGAGCTGTGGGATGCTCGTGGTCCCTGCTTGGCTTGGCTGGAGTGTTTTTGGGGCTCCTCTGTCCTCGCTGGGGTGTTGTGACCTGGGTGGCAGCTCTTGGGGACACTGAGAGCCACTCGCTGCCCTCAGGGAGCCACCTCAGAACAAGGCATTAACGGAAAAACCTCAATTTCTGAGAAACTCTCAGGTTTTGGTGGTTTCTCTGCCATTTCCCTTTTCTATTTCGTGGTTCCTGTGGCATCTCCCAGCTGACGTAGAGCCCATGGGTGCTGCAGCCCCTTTCTCTATTGGGGTATTAGGATATTGGGTCATTGGCATATCGGGGTATTGGGATATTGGGAATTTGGGATATTGGGACATTGGCATATTAGGATTTTGGGATATTTGGATATTGGGATATCAGGGTATTGGGATATTGGGAATTTGGGATATTGGAACATTGGGATATTGTGAATTTGGGATATTAGGATATTAGAATTTTGGGATATTGGGATATTTGGATTTTGGTATATCGGGATTTTGGGAATTTGGGATATTGGGAATTTGGGATATTGGGATATTTGAGATATTGTGATTTTGGAATATTTGGATATTGGGATATTGGGACATTGGGATTTTGGAATATTTGGATATTGGGATATTTGGATATTGGGATATCAGGATATTGGGATATTGGGATATTGGGATTGTTCCCTACCTGCCAGCAGGGCGGGGAGCGATGCTCCGGCCCCCACGTCCTGCCCAGGGGAGGAAGCAGCTGTTTCCCACTGCTGAGGGGTATTTTTAACCCAAAATCAACGGGAGGGTTTGTCTGGGCTGAAAGTGAAGAACCACCTGGGCTCCTTTCCTGCCCGGCCCTGCAGCTGCGGCTTTTCCCTGCTCCACACTCCGAGCTCAACTTCTCACCCAGGAATTTCTGCCCAAACCACGCTGACACCGAATTCTCCCTAAAAATCCCCTCCTTGGGGCAGCGCCGCTCCCCTCTCCCACCCCATGGGGCGCCTCGCTCCTTTCCAAGCCCTCCTGACGCCGATATTTTTGTTTCCCACGGTTGTTTTCGCAGCTCCAGTTGCTGTGGTATCCAGGGAGCCCTCCTCCTCCTCCTCCTCCTCCTCCTCCTCCTCCCGCTGCAGGAGCTGCACGCCGGGCGTTGCTAAGGTCGCCTCCGCGGTAACATGCACATCCTGTTTACACCTTCATCCCGACAAGTTGGGCTCGGATAGAGCCGCCCGTTCCCCCCGGGAAGCCCCCAGGGAAGCCCCCAGGGAAGGGGCCGCACGGAGCATCCCCCCCCGGAGCCGCCGGAGCCGCCGGAGCCGCGAGCGAGGCCGCGCCGGGAGCGCCGCGCCGGTGGCACCGGCACCGTGACAAGATGACGAACAACGTGGCCGACCACCACCCCGGGAACTCGGTGGCTGAGGGCAACCATGAGGGGGACTTTGGGTGCTCCTTGGTGGAGCTCAGGAACCTCATGGAGCTGAGGAGCGCCGAGGCCGTGGCCCGGATCAACGACTCCTACGGCGGCGTCCAGAACGTCTGCAAGAGGTTGAAGACGTCGCCGGTCGAAGGTGAGTAGGCTGGGGTTGTCACCTCCGGGGTTGTCACCTCCAGGATGGAGCCATGTGAAGGTGACACCCAATGGTGATGGCTCCCGTGGTCTGGGGTTGTCACCTCCAGGATGGAGCCACATGGAGGTGATGTCCAAGGGTGGTGGCTCCCAAGGTTTGGGGTTGTCACCTCTGGAATGAAGCCAGATGAAGGTGATGCCCAACTGTGGTGGCTCCTATGGTCTGTGGTTATCACCTCTGGGGTTATCACCTCCAGGATGGAGCCATGTGAAGGTGACATCCAAGGATGGTGGCTCCTAAGGTCTGGGGTTGTCACCTCTGGGGTTGTCACCTCCGGGATGGAGCCATGTGAAGGTGACAACCAATGGTGGTGGCTCCTAAGGTCTGGGGTTGTCACCTCTGGGGTTGTCACCTCCAGGCTGGAGCCATGTGAAGGTGACAACCAATGGTGGTGGCTCCCAAGGTCTGGGGTTATCACCTCCAGGATGGAGCCATGTGAGGGTGACACCTGAGGGTGGTGTCTCCCATGGTCTGGGGTTGTCACCTCTGGAATGGAGCCTTGTGAAAGTGATGCTGGAGGGTGGTGGCTCCAGTGACTGTCATGTGGTCTGAGATTGTCACTTTTGGGATGGAACCACATGAAGGTGACACTTAAAGATGGTGTCTCCAGTGGCTGTCCCGTGGTCTGGGGTTGTCACCTCTGGAGTTGTCACCTCTGAGGTGGAGCCACGTGAAGGTGACACCCGAGGGTGGTGGCTCCAGTGACTGTCCCGTGGTCTGGGATGGAGCCACACGAAGGTCACATCCAAGGGTGGTGGCTCCAGTGGCCGTCCCATGGTCTGGGGTTGTCACCTCTGGGGCTGTCAGAGATGTGGGATGGGGTGAGGAGCTCCTCGCCACAGCCCAGGTGCTGCTCCAGCCCTTCCCTGTTTAATCATTTACGGAGCGGGAGGGGAGGTGTAAAGGTTGGAGGGCGTTGGTGAGGTGGCCAGGTGCCACCTGCAGCTGTTGGTGGCACTTTGGGCTAGGGACAGGAGCAGTGTGTCCCCAAAGTGGGTGGGGGATGCACCCAGGGATGGGGAGATGGGCCCAGGTCCCTCCTGCACTGAGGATGCTCCAAGGAAAACCTGGACACTGCAGCTGAGTGGTGGCAGTGACACCTGGGGTCACCTCTGGGAGGATCCCAGGGTGTCACCTCTGCCCTCACGGGCTGGGCTGGCTTTTGGGGTCCCCTCATCAGCCAGGCTGGTGGCACTGGTGGCACCTTGGCACAGCAGTGGAGCCTTCCCTGGCATTGGGGGGGTGCAGGGGGCAGAGAGCCCCTGATTCCAGCTCCAAGGGTTTTCCTGGAGCTGTGGGATGGGAACTCAGCCCTAAAACTGGGATGGGACTCAGCCTTAAAACTGTGGAATGGGACTCAGCCCTAAAACTGGGATGGGACTCAGCCCTAAAACTGTGGGATGAGACTCAGCCTTAAAACTGTGGAATGGGACTCAGCCCTAAAACTGGGATGGGACTCAGCCCTAAAACTGTGGGATGAGACTCAGCTCTGGAGCTGTGGGATGGGAACTCAGCCCTAAAACTGGGATGGGACTCAGCCCTAAAACTGTGGGATGAGACTCAGCTCTGGAGCTGTGGGATGGGGACTCAGTCCTAAAACTGTGAGATGGGGACTTGGCCCTGGAGCTGTGGGATGGGGGCTCAGCTCTGGAGCTGTGGGATGGGGACTCAGCTCTGGAGCTGTGGGATGGGGGCTCAGCCCTGGAGCTGTGGGATGGGGACTCAGCTCTGGAGCTGTGGGATGAGGACTCAGCTCTGGGGCTGTGGGATGGGGGCTCAGCTGTGACAATCTGTGGGATATTTTTAGTGCTGCAAGGGGGGGATTTGCAGCTTTCCAGCTGCGAGCGGGACCGGGAAGGACAGACAATATCGGGATGTCGTTAGAGAAGGGGGGGAAATCCCGGTGGAAATACAAAGCCCAGGTCACAAAACAATGTGCTCAGCCCTGCCAAAGTGGGATCAGGCTGCTTTGGGGTGGGAGGAGAGGCAGGAGGAGAACCCAAAAGGTTCATTTAGGGAAGGTGAAGGGTTCAGTCCCACCCCGACGCCCCTGGGGTGTCCCTCCCATGGAGCTGAGCTGTCCCAAGTCCCAGAGAGCACGGAAAGGTTCTCTGCTCCAAATCCTCAGGGATTTTTGGGAAGAGCAAAACCCCAAGGGCACCTGTGGCACCTCTGTCTGACCCCGCTGTTTGTCCCCATCCCCATTCTCATTGTCCCTCTGCTGATCACCCCTCTGGGGTGGCACAGGGCCTTGTCCTCCTGTCTGTCAGCCCGGGGTGTCCTGCCAGCACCCCTGTCCTGCTGTAGGATCCGTGCCCTGCAGTGCTCTGATCCCACCTGGATCCACGTGGCTCCTGGCCCTGGGTGCCACCCTGTGCTGCAGACCTGGCTGTCCCCTGTCCTCGTGGGCAAACGCTGTCTCCCAGAGCCCGCCTTGGGTGGCCCTTGGGGTCCCCACCCCCAGTGTCACTTTGGGGTCTGCTGGTTCTGGCAGCTCCAGCTCTGCCCCAGGAGGTGCCAGCAGACCCCAAACCCTTGGGGCTGCTCCCAAGGTGGCTTTGGGGTGGCGTGGGGTGTGACTCTGATGAGTCACCTGTGTCCCCTGGGTGCCAGCACAGCCACCCTGACTCACCCAGCCCCATTCCTGCAGGGAGGCTCCTTGTGCCACCCCACAGCCGCTGTCCCCAGGCAGATCAGGCACTGGTGACAGCTCCCTGCTGTCACATGTGACCTCCAACCAAAGCTTCTGCCCCATTTCCCTGCTAAACCTGACCCCAGAGCCTGCAGTGGCCCCATGGGTGGCACCTGCCCAGGGCTGCTGCTCTTTGTCACCTTCTAATCGGCCCCCCAGACTCTGCGGTGGCATTTGGGTGGCACGGGCTCTTTGTCACCCTCCCTGTGCCAGCACAGAGCCATCGAACCCCCTCCAGTTCCGGGGAGGGTGGGGGACAGCCCTGGGATCATTCCTGCTTTGGGATCCCTGGCTGCCCTGTGCTGTGGGACCATCCTGTGTCCCCATGTGTCCCCACGTGTGCCCCCACGTGTGTCCCCACGTGTGTCCCCGCGGCTCCGTGGCCATGAGCCACATTTTCCACCCTCTGCTGGGGAATGGAGGCCGGGACATCCCAGGATCCTGCTCAGCCTCCTCGTCATGGCTGGGTGGGGACAGCGAGGCTGCAGTGCCAGCTGCCAGCTGTCCCCTCCCTGCAGCTGGGCTGCAGCCACAGCTGTGGGAGCGGGGCGGGATCGATCCTGCAGCTCCCTCCTGCTGCAGGGACACACGTGGGGACACATGGGGACACGGGGGCTGGCACGGGGGTGTCACCAGAGTGACACAGGGCGGGCACGGAGGTGTCCCCAAAGTGACAGGGGGCAGGCAGGGGGGTGTCTCCAGAGGGACACGGGGCTGGCAGGGAGATGTCCCCAGAGTGGCATGGGACTGGCACAGAGGTGTCCCCTCAAAGTGACATGGGGCTGACATGGGGGTGTCCCACAGAATGACAAAGGGCGGGCACAGAGGTGTCCCCTCAGAGTGACATGGGGCTGGCACTGGCATGTCCCACAGAGTGACATGGGGCTGGCACAGGAGTTCCCCAGAGTGACATGGGGCTAGCAGGGATGTGTCCCACAGAGTGACACAGGGCGGGCACAGAGGTGTCCCCCCAGGGTGACACAGGTCTGTCAGGGAGATGTCCCCCAGAGTGACACAGGTCTGTCAGGAAGGTGTCCCCTGGAATGACTCGGAGCTGTCCCCTGCGTGCAGGACCTGGGTCCCCTGTCACTGCCAGGCTGCTCCAGGCACCACCAGGATGTGCCCAGGGCCATTCCTGGAGCATCCCGGGACCTGGCAGTGGCCCCGGGGACATCTTAAGGTGGAGAAGGATGGGATGGGGGGGTCCCTTAAGGTGGTGCTGGGGACACAGCTGTGTCACACTGCCACTGTCACCATCGCTGGCTCGTGGCCTGGCACCCCACCAGCATTTATGGCATTATTAGGAGTGGCTGGGTCACTTTGCCACTGTCACCCACTGCTCCCTTCTAGGACCCTGTCACCATTTATGGCTTTGTTCGGGGTGGCTGTGTCACTTTGCCACTGTCACCCACTGCTCCCTCCTGGTACCCCCCTCAACATTTATGGCTTTATTAGGGATGGCCGTGTCACCACTGTCACCCATTGCCAGCTCATGGGTTGGAACCCCCTCAACATTTATGGCTTTATTAGGGGTTGCCCTGTCACTTTGCTGCTGTCACCCATCACTCCATCCAACCCTGTCAGTATTTATGGCTTTATTAGAGGTGGCCACTTTGCCACTGTCACCCATGGCTGCTGGCAGGGCTCTGAAGGGGCTCAGGCTCCCTTTTATTCCCCATTTTCCCCCATCCTCGCTCCCAGCTCCATGTCCTGCTCCCTCCCTGTGTCCCCCCCTTTCCCAGCAGCACCAGCCCAGATCCCAGTTGGACCCAGTGTCCCCAGGGCTGGGAGAGGCTCCCACAGCTCCAGGGGCTGGCACAGGACAGGGCTCAGGTGGCCACGGGCACTGCCAGTGCCAGAATTGCCCAGATTTGCCCAGGATTGCCCAGATTTACAGCTCATTTGATGTAAACAAGGCCACCGGTGCCAGCTGGCAGCACCTGGGCACTCGCCAGGCTGCAGCCTGGTGTCCCCTGCCTGGGGGTGACAATGGCACAGCGCTGCTGCAGCCTGGTGTCTCCTGCCTGGGGGTGACAATGGCACAGCGCTGCTGCAGCCTGGTGTCTCCTGCCTGGGGGTGACAATGGCACAGCGCTGCTGCAGCCTGGTGTCCCCTGCCTGGGGGTGACAATGGCACAGCGCTGCTGCAGCCTGGTGTCCCCTGCCTGGGGGTGACAGTGGCACAGCGCTGCTGCAGCCTGGTGTCCCCTGCCTGGGGGTGACAATGGCACAGCGCTGCTGCAGCCTGGTGTCCCCTGCCTGGGGGTGACAGTGATGTTCTCCAGGCTGCAGCCTGATACATTATTTATTTGTTTGTTTATATTTTTGGGTTATTCATTATTTATTATTTTATTTAATTTAATTATTTATTATTTTATTTATTTATAATTTTGTTTTATTCGTTTATATTTTATATATTTCTATTTAATATTTTAATGTATTATTTATTTATTTAACTAATTCCTTTATTTCTATTTTGATTCATTTGTATGTTATATATTTATATATTATCTTTTAATGTATTATTCATTTAATTAATTTTCTTTGTTTATACTTTATTTATTTATCTATACTTTATTTATTTATGTTTTATAATTTATATATTATTTATTTATATTGTAGTTGTTTATACTTTATGTAATTTCTATTATTTATTTGTCTCTATTTATAGGTTTATTTTATTTATTTGTTTATACTTTATTTATAGTTTATTTTAATTTTATTTAATTTATTTTTTATACTTTATTTTATAGTTTATTTAAAATTTTATTTGTTAACTACTTTATTAATTTTCATTTTTATTAATCTTAATTTTCTTAATACTTTATTAATTTTATTTTTTAATTTTTATTTTTATACTTTTATAGTTTATTTAAAATTTTATTTGTTTACTACTTTATTAATTTTTATTTTTTAAATCTTTATTTTCTTAATACTTTATTAATTTTTTTTTTAAATTTTATTTTATTTATTTGCTTATACTTTATTTATTTATTTATTTATTTACACCTTGTCTCCCCTCTGCCAGCTCCTCACATTCTCCGGGACGGGCAGGGAGCTGCTCCTGGATGAATCCCACAGGGACAGCAGTGGGATTTACCCTCATCCCTGTTCTCCCCACCCCTCCAGGCCTGTCTGGGAACCCCACGGACCTGGAGAAGCGGCGTCAGGTCTTTGGCCAGAACTTCATCCCCCCCAAGAAGGCCAAGACGTTCCTGCAGCTGGTGTGGGAGGCGCTGCAGGACGTGACGCTGATCATCCTGGAGATCGCAGCCATCATCTCCCTGGGGCTGTCCTTCTACCACCCCCCGGGAGGGGACAACGAGCGTGAGTCCCCGGGCTGGGCACTTGGGTCTGCCCCCGTTCCTGTGGGGATATCCTGGGATCTGCCCCGTTCCTGCTGAGGGGACTCTGGGATCGACCCATTCCCTTGGGGGGATATCCTGGGATCTGCCCCATTCCCTGTGGGGATATCCTGGGATCTGCCCCATTCCCTCTGGGGATATCCTGGGATCTGCCCCATTCCCTGTGGAGATATCCTGGGATCTGCCCCGTTCCCTCTGGGGATATCCTGGGATCTGCCCCATTCCCTGTGGGGATATCCTGGGATCTGCCCCATTCCTGCTGAGAGGACTCTGGGATCGACCCATTCCCTTGGGGGGATATCCTGGGATCTGTCCCATTCCCTGTGAGGATATCCTGGGATCTGCCCCGTTCCCTGTGGGGATATCCTGGGATCTGCCCCATTCCTGCTGAGGGGATATCCTGGGATCTGCCCCATTCCCTGTGGGGGTATCCTGGGATCTGCCCCATTCCTGCTGAGGGGATATCCTGGGATCTGCCCCATTCCCTGTGGGGATATCCTGGGATCTGCCCTATTCCCTGTGGGGATATCCTGGGATCTGCCCCATTCCCTGTGGAGATATCCTGGGATCTGCCCCATTCCCTGTGGGGGTATCCTGGGATCTGCCCCGTTCCTGCTGAGGGGACTCTGGGATCGACCCATTCCTTTGGGGGGATATCCTGGGATCTGCCCCATTCCCTGTGGGGATATCCTGGGATCTGCCCCATTCCCTTGGGGGGACTCTGGGATCTGGTTACCCACGGGCTCTCTCCCGGGCAGTGTGTGGGGTTATCCCATGGGAACTCTCTCATTTGGGGTTATCCACGGGCTCTCTCCCGGGCAGTATTTGGGGTTATCCCATGGGAATTCTCTCATTTGGGGTTATCCCATGGAACTCTCCCATTTGGGGTTATCCATGGGCTCTCTCCTGGGCAGTGTGTGGGGTTATCCCATGGGAATTCTCCCATTTGGGGTTATCCATGGGCTCTCTCCCGAGCAGTGTTTGGGGTTATCCCATGGGCATTCTCTCATTTGGGGTTATCCCATGGAACTCTCTCATTTGGGGTTATCCCGGGCAGTGTGCGGGCAGTCCACGGGCGGCGTGGAGGACGAGGGCGAGTCGCAGGCGGGCTGGATCGAGGGCGCTGCCATCCTGTTCTCCGTCATCATCGTGGTGCTGGTGACGGCCTTCAACGACTGGAGCAAGGAGAAGCAGTTCCGGGGCCTCCAGAGCCGCATCGAGCAGGAGCAGAAGTTCACGGTGATCCGCAAGGGCCAGGTGATCCAGATCCCCGTGGCCGAGATCGTGGTGGGCGACATCGCCCAGATCAAGTACGGTGAGTGGGGCTGGGGCTGTGCTCCCCGCTGGGAGCCTCTGAAGCAGGGTAGAGATTTCCCAGAGTAGAAATCCGTTTTGATTTAGGGGAAATGCACGTTTTTGAGTTGAGTCTGTAGTTGGAAACAACCTGGTTGCAAAAGCCTAGGCTCAGAGAAACTGCTTCAGTGAAAGACAGACATGAAGGGGAGGAGACAGAAAGTGATAGAGAGAGGCAGAGACTGCTGTGAGAGTAGGTCAGCCCCACCTAAGAATTCTTTCTGACAAAGAAGAACTAGCAGCAAATGTCACGTGAAATTCATAAAAGTGAATATGTATGAACCTATTGTGAAGTTGTATGCATGTGTGTATTTGAGAGGGGGATAAAAAGGGACCTGGAGTTCCCAGAGGTACCCACGTCATTTCAGGAGAACGATTCCCACATGTGTCCAGCGCTGTAATAAACACACCGGCTTTACAACTCTCACAAAAGTTGTGGAGTTTTGATTATCTCCACAAAACACCTCCTCCCTCCTTCTCCAGCCCTTCTTCCTTGAGGACAAGCAGCAGCTCCCCTGGTTGCTCCATGGAAATGTTGCCTTGGAGGTGATGGAGCTCCATGGCAGCATTTTCATGGAATAACCAGCTCCAGTAACCAGTGGAGCTCCATGAGCTCATTCACCTTCTCTTTTTGGCCTGGAGCTTTAAGGAGCTCCTGGATCAGAATTAATTAATTTTATTAGTTTGTGTTAGTTTATTTTCTCAACCTTGTCCCTGTTAAGGATGTTTCCTTATCCAGGAGATGTTGAGGGATATTTCCTTGGCCAGGAGATGCTGGGGAGTGTTTCCTTATGCAGGAGGTTTTGGGGAACATTTTCTCATCCAGGAGATGTTGCTGGATATTTCCTTATCCAGGAGATGCTGGGGAATATTCTGTTATCCAGGAGATGTTGGGGAATATTTCTTTATCCAGGAGATGCTAGGGAGTGTTTCCTTATGCAGGAGGTTTTGGGGAACATTTCCTCATCCAGGAGATGTTTGGGAATATGTCCTTATCCAGGAGTTGTTGGGGAGCATTTCCTCATCCAGGAGATGCTGGGGAATATTTCCTTACCCAGGAGTTGTTGGGGATTATTTCCTTGGCCTGGAGGCACTGCTGGATGTTTCCTTATCCAGGAGCTGCATCCCTTGGGATCAATCAGGCCCTGCTCCTCGTTTCCCAGGGGGAATATTCCTCCCATTCAGGAAGGAGATTGATCCAACACAGTGTGTGTTTTCCCAAGGGCCCGATTCCATTCTTGGCAGGTGGAGATGGTGGATTTTGGATGCATCAGGAGCTCTGGGAAGGATTCATTAAAACCAGATGGGGAAGCACCGGGCAAAATCCTCCCCAGGAGTCTCCAGCGAGGATTTGGGAGCTCTTGGATTTCATTTGATTGCACCTGTCCCTCACAAACCCCACCTGCTGCTTCTCTTCCCTCTAGAGCTGCTCTGAGCCTGAGTTTTGGATCCTTTTGGAGCATTCCTGGGATGGGGCAGGCAGGGCTGAGCCCAGGCTGGGCTGATCCCTGGTTTTCCTCCTGTCCAGGTGATCTCCTGCCAGCGGACGGGATCCTGATCCAGGGCAATGACCTGAAGATAGATGAGAGCTCACTGACCGGGGAGTCAGACCAGGTGAAGAAATCCATGGATAAAGACCCCATGCTGCTGTCAGGTGAGGCTTCTGGGATGGGATCAGGGTGGGCCCTGCTCTCAGGGACGTGTCCAAGGCCAGGCTGGACGGGGTTTGGAGCAATCTGGGATAGGGGAAGCTGTCCCTGCCTGTGGCAGGGGGTGGAACAGGATGGGGTTGAAGGTCCCTTCCAAGCCAAACCAGGCTGGGACTCTGTGGGATGGGAGCTGGGAGTGTCACCTGTGTGCCCATGGCATTGCTGCCCTGCCAGGTACCCACGTGATGGAGGGCTCGGGCAGGATGGTGGTGACTGCCGTGGGCATCAACTCCCAGACTGGCATCATCTTCACCCTCTTGGGAGCAGGAGGAGAGGGTGACGAGGAGAAGAAAGTGAAGAAAGGTAAGAAAATGCCCTGAACCTGCCTTTTTTTCCCCTCCTTTCTCCCTTTCCTGGGAAGCATCCACAGGCTCCTCCCACATGGGGGAACAGGAAGAGGTTGGGGGTCTGTCCCTGTCCCCTCCACCTGGTCCCTTCCTGCTCCCAGACCTCTTTGGGACCCTTCTCCAGCACCCTCCTCTCCATCCTGGAGCTGTGGGGTTTGGGGGATCAAGGATCCCCTGGGAAGAGGGGCTGGTGGCAGCTCCCCTGCTGTGCTCCTTGCCCACCCCGTGGTGGTGGGAAGCTGAGTCCTGGGTGCCCACAGGGTCTTTTTAGCCCATCCAAACCCTGCAGGACTTGGCTGAGGATCTCCTGAGCATTCCCTGAGCTCCCTGGGGGAAAGGAGGGGACGGCAGGAGGCAGAGGAGGGCTGGGACAGCAGCCAGGCCGAGGTGTTCCCATCGTGCTGGGACTGGAGCACTCTCCCGTCTCAGCTTTCACATCCAGCTGCTTATTCCCAGCTGGGGAAGCTCCCTGTGTCCCTGATGCCCTGCTCAGCAGGTTTGGCCTCGCTGGGATCAGGCGCTGGCAGCAGCATCAGGCTGGCACTGCCAGCTGCTCCGGCATCCCCGCGCCAGGGAGCCCTTCCCGGGAGGCGATGCCAGGCGGGAGAGGCTCCTGGGCTGTGCTGGCTGCAGCTCCAGCTCTGAGCTGGATCCTGCCTTCCCCAGCTCTGAGCTGGATCCTGCCTTCCCCAGCTCTGGGTCTGGATCCTGCCTTCCCCAGCTTTGAACTGGATCCTGCCTTCCCCAGCTCTGAGCTGGATCCTGCCTTCCCCAGCTCTGGGTGTGGATCCTGCCTTCCCCAGCTCTGAGCTGGATCCTGCCTTCCCCAGCTCTGAGCTGGATCCTGCCTTCCCCAGCTTTGAACTGGATCCTGCCTTCCCCAGCTCTGAGCTCTAAACTGGATCCTGCCTTCCCCAGCTCTGGGTGTGGATCCTGCCTTCCCCAGCTCCCAGCTCTGAGCTGGATCCTGCCTTCCCCAGCTCCCAGCTCTGAGCTGGATCCTGCCTTCCCCAGCTCTGAGCTCTAAACTGGATCCTGCCTTCCCCAGCTCTGAGCTGGATCCTGCCTTCCCCAGCTCTGAACTGGATCCTGCCTTCCCCAGCTCTGAACTGGATCCTGCCTTCCCCAGCTCTGAGCTGGATCCTGCCTTCCCCAGCTCCCAGCTCTGAGCTGGATCCTGCCTTCCCCAGCTCTGAACTGGATCCTGCCTTCCCCAGCTCTGCAGCTGGATCCTGCCTTCCCCAGCTCTGGGTGTGGATCCTGCCTTCCCCAACTCTGGGTGTGGATCCTGCCTTCCCCAGCTCCAGGATTTGGGAGCTATAGAGCTCCCACCATTCCCAGTGCCGCTATCAGGACAGGGTGCCCTGAGAGTGGCACTGGGAATGGCACTGGGAGCCACCCAGTGCTTGGAGCTTTCCCAGCCTTCAAGCTCAATGGGTCTGGGAGCAGAGCAGGCCCAGGGGGTGCCACCAGTTTGTCTCCACTGGAGCTGTGGGGTGACATAAAGCCCTTGTCACCTGAGGCTGGTTGAGGTGCAGCAGCAGCCCTGGGCACCCCCATGTGCCACCTGGACAGATTTTGGGGGGTCACACCTCCCTGCTCTGGGTCTGGTGCTGCCCATGGTGGGGGACAAGTCTGTGCTTCCCATCTGGATCTGGTGGCAGCAGGAGGGAGAGACCTGGAGCTGCCAGGAGGGTTTTTTCTCCTGAAAATCTGCTCTGTGGCTTCTCCTCCTGAAAATCTGAGGCACCTCCAGCACCCTCGAGGCACTGCTGGGGTTTGGGGGTGATTTACAGGTGGGGAGAAGCAGAATCCTTGGGACAGGGGTGCCCAGGGCAGCCTGGGAGCTGTGGAGCCTCGAGCTGTGTGTGGACCAAGGCGTGGTGTCCAGAGGGTGACCACTGGAGTGGCCCCTGGGAGCGTCCCAGCTGGACGGGGAATGCGGCTCCTTGTGCTCAGCCCTCCCCCCTTTCTCTCTTTGAACAGGTAAAAAAAGCGGAGCCCCCGAAAACCGCAACAAAGGTAACGCCAGCCTCTCCATCCTTTGAACCAGCACCACACTAACTACCAGGCATTCCTCCTTCCTTCTTTCCTTCCTCCTTCCTTCCTTCTCCTCATCAGTCTGTGCTCTTTGCTGCTCCGGCGGGACTCTCGCCTCGTTTCTCCAGGACAGGGTGCAACGGTCCCGTGGTGTCCCCAAAACCCCAACCCAAGGCAGGGGATGCCGTGCTGGGACTGCCCAAAACCAGAGGCCAGACCCAATTAAGGGAATCAAAAGCAGTTTTATTTATTGAAGGGCCTTCAGGTGCATTTAGGGCAGATGAAGCCCACCCAGAAATGGACCACGGGTCACGGGGTTTTCACACTTTTATACCCATTTGCATATTGGGGGTTAATCTGCCAATTACAGCTGCAGGTAATGAAGCCATTGACACCAAATTTGCTCCCCCAACTCCCTTTTGCTCCCATCTCTCAGGGCCTGACCAGTGAGGTGGTGTTGATTCCCAGGCCTGGAGAGGAATTGTGGAATTGTGATAAGAATGGGAAAGCAGCAGCTGACACTGTGTGTGGAGTTTAGGGTTATACACTAAAGAACTGCAGGATTATAAATGTATGGAAAAGATAAAAGCTAAAATCCTAAGGCATCACTGGAATGAACCTTCCTGCTGTTCCTGCATGGGGAAGAGCCATTTTTCAGGGAGGACTCCTGGTAGAGCATCCCTTTCTTGGGATACCTCCATGACTCCCAGCAGGGATTTGGTGGTTTAAAGCTGTCCCTGCACAGGGTTGGTGTTCAGGGCAGAGCTGGAGGTGCCCTCCTGGCATTCCTGGGATGAGATCTCCCCCAGGGCCTGGCCCATGGGACGCTTGCACCCTGTCCTGCCATGGCCTCGACTCCGTGAGCGTCTCCTCACCAGTGTTTCTCACCCTGTTCTTTGCAGGCTGTGGAGGAAGCCCCATTTCTGCACCTCTCTCTCCACCCCTCTCTCTCTCTCTCTGTTTCTCTCTCTGTTTCTCTCTCTCTCAGCAGTTTGAGTTGCCCTCCTTGAGTCAGCTGTGTCCGGGTGCTTTGTTGTGTCCGTGTCGGGTCTCTTGTCACCGTGGAGCTGCTCCGGGGTGGCCTCCAGCCCAGGAGGGGACAGGACACCCCCAGGGGGTGGCCCTGGGGCCACTGCTGCTCCTCCAGCTCCACCAGCTCAGGAGGAGCCTCTGCTGGGCTGCCCGTCCCTCTCCAAAGCTGCCAGGCTTGGGTTTGCCCAGGGCAGCCTTCCAGCTGGGTTAGCCCAGTTTTAGGAATGGGAAGCTGGGCTGTCTCGGGTCCCAGAGGCGTGGTGGACGGCTCCAGGCTGGGATTGGAGGATTCCTGGCTCCCTGCTCTTCAGTCTCCATCCCAATTTCTAACCCTCCCCTCCATCTCACCCCCTCCGTCGCTTCCCTGGCGAGCGATTCCTGCTGGGCCGCCCACAGGGCACTGCAGGGGTGGCACTGGGGGAACTGGGGACACTGGAGCATCTCTGGGCTCATTCCAAAGCACTCCCAATCCTCTGCAGGCTTAGAGGCTGGAAGAGAACCCCAAAATCTGGCCTAGAGGGTCTCTTGCAGAGGGGTGATGAGTGCCAGAGTCACCTCTGAGGATCCCTGATCCGTGGGCAGGGGGTAGATGACAGAAAAGCACCCCGGAGAGAGGTGGCAGGGCCTGGACACGGAGCTTCCATGTGCTCGGACGCGTGTGTGGTCGGGAGTGGTTCTTGTCCTGGATTTCTCTCTCTCTCTCTCTCTGCCACCACCATCCTCCTCCGTGGTGTCCTCCAGCCTGGCCTGGGCCTCTCCTGTTCACACGTGGTGTCTTCTTTTGCCCCCCGGGCTGTAGCTAAAACTCAGGATGGTGTGGCCTTAGAGATCCAGCCCCTGAAGAGCCAGGAGGGGGTGGAAAATGAGGAGAAGGAGAAGAAGAAGGTGAAGGTGCCCAAGAAGGAGAAGTCAGTGCTGCAGGGGAAGCTCACGCGCCTGGCGGTGCAGATCGGGAAGGCAGGTGAGTGACAGTGACAGTGACAGTGACCCCAGAGCTGGTGGGGAAGGGCTGACCCTGTCCTGTGTCCCCTCTCCTCATCCCATCCTTGTCCCCAGAGCTGGTGGGGAAGGGCTGACCCTGTCCTGTGTCCCCTCTCCTCATCCCATCCTTGTCCCCAGAGCTGGTGGGGAAGGGCTGTGCTTGTCCCCTATGACCCCAGAGCTGATGGGGAAGGGCTGACCCTGTCCTATGTCCCCTTATCTCATCCTTGTCCCTATCCCCAGATCTGGTGGGGAAGGGCTCTGCTTGTCCCCAGTGTCCCTAGAGACAGTGAAGAAGGGCTGACCCTGTCCCCTGTGTCCCCTCTCCTCATCCTTGTCCCCATCCCCAGTGTCCCCAGAGCTAGTGGGGAAGGGCTGACCCTGTTCCCTCTGTCCCCTGTGTCCCCTGACCTCATCCTCGTCCCCAGGGCTGATCATGTCGGCCATCACCGTCATCATCCTGGTGCTCTACTTCGTCATCGACACCTTTGGGGTGCAGAAGCGGCCCTGGCTGGCCGAGTGCACCCCCATCTACATCCAGTACTTCGTCAAGTTCTTCATCATCGGCGTCACCGTGCTGGTGGTGGCCGTGCCCGAGGGGCTCCCGCTGGCCGTCACCATCTCGCTGGCCTACTCTGTCAAGGTGAGACCTGGGCGTGAGGAGGGACTGTTGGAATATCACCAATGTTGTGGCCAGGACGTGCCTGAGCTTGTCTGGCCCTGCTGCTGAACCAAACAGCGGCCACTGTGGTGTTTGACCCCACAGACACTTTTGGCTGCCTGGGTGTGTGGTGTTTCACCCCACAGACGCTTTTGCCTGCCTGGGTGTGTGGTGTTTCACCCACAGACACTTTTGGCTGCTGGGTGTGTGGTGTTTCACCCCACAGACACTTTTGGCCAGCTAGGTGTGTGGTGTTTCACCCCACAGACACTTTTGCCTGCCTGGGTGTGTGGTGTTTCACCCACAGACACTTTTGGCTGCTGGGTGTGTGGTGTTTCACCCCACAGACACTTTTGGCTGGCTGGGTGTGTGGTGTTTCACCCCACAGACACTTTGGGCTGGCTGGGTGTGTGGTGTTTCACCCCACAGACACTTTTGCCTGGCTGGGTGTGTGGTGTTTCACCCCACAGACACTTTTGCCTGGCTGGGTGCTGCAGCTGGCACTGCAGACAAGTCCAGGCCTGCAGGAGCTCTGGTGCTGCTGGGATGGAGCTTCCCCCCATAACAGGGGCTGCTCCTCAGGTTTCCCTCTGTGGAGAAGCTTTAAGGCAATGGTGAAGGAAAGGAGTCGGTTCTGATGGAGGGTTTGGATCCAGAGCTTTATTCTGGCCCTCAGGCCTCTGAATCCAGCACCAGCTCCAACAGAACTCCCTGAGCCCGTGGCTGCTGCTCCTTTAACCCCGGGGAGAGGGGCAGGGAAGGGGCAGGGAGGCACCAAGCAGGGACAGGAGGGGAGGGACAAAGGGACAAAGGACACTTGGATGGCCCAAATCCCCCCCCAGGGGTAGAGGGCATCCTTTGGATCTGCCAATCACTCGAGGCCCTTCTGGAATTCCAGGATTTCAGTGCTGGGAGGGGAAAGGAGAGGTGACTGACACACCTGGGAGGGAATTATCAGGGGAGGGACCTGAGGTTCTGAGGTCCCCCTGAAAGTAGTTCATGCTTTCATGTACAGAATTGTTTTGTATGTAATTATAACTTGAGTCTTAGAATTAGAAAGTACTTCTATTCAAAGCGATGCTGAATGGCCTTGGTCCCAGGCTTTTAATCATTTTTTTTCCAGCTGAAATTCAGTAATTTTCCAGCTGAAATTCAGAAAGTTGTCTTTATCAGTATATATGAGCACAGTTTTCTGATCAGTGACTGGATGAATTTCGAAGTGGCAGATACTCTGTTCAGTGTCTAGACACACATCCTGGACATTAGTAGTATTGCTTTCACAAATGAATCCCAGCTGTTCTCTAGTAATGCAGGATTCTAAGTTTGCTGTTTGCTTCTTTTCATTCACTTTTCGTGCCCACACCCTATGTCCTGAAGGGTAGAGTGTGACACTGTTCACAAGAGTTTTTAAATTAGAAAAGAGACGAAGATCTGATTCCATGTTTCAGGAGGCTTAGTTTATTATTTTATGATATATATTACATTAAAACTATATTAAAAGAATAGAAAAAAAAAGTTCTCATCAGAAAGCTAACTAAGCTAAGAATAGAAAAGAATGATAACAAAAGTTTGTGGCTCAGATAGAAAGCTTGAGCCAGCTGAGCTGTGATTGGCCATTAATTACAAACAACTCTATGAAACCAATCACAGATCTACCTGTTGCATTCTACAGCAGCAGATAACCATTGTTTAATCATTTTGTTCTTGAGGCCTCTCAGCTTCTCAAGAGGAGAAATCCCAAAGAAAGGATTTTTCATGAAAAGATGTCTGCGACTGTAGAGCACTGTTTTTGATGATTTAATCTTAGTGCAGTGATGGGATGGATAATGTAAACAGTGGAATTATGGATGGTAAGCACAAAGGCAGTGGCTACATTAGAAACAGGATCATAGGTGAAATTTCCTGCAGCCTACCAGGATTGAAACTCCTTTTCAAAATCAATTGCATTATCACAGACAACTTCCTGAAAGGGACGGGGGTGGCAGGGGTGAGGTCAGCCCTGACCTTCTCGCTGCTTGCAGAAAATGATGAAGGACAACAACCTGGTGAGGCACCTGGACGCCTGCGAGACCATGGGCAACGCCACGGCCATCTGCTCGGACAAGACGGGCACGCTGACCATGAACCGCATGACCGTGGTGCAGGCCTACGTGGGGGACACCCACTACCGCCAGATCCCCGACCCCGAGGCCATCCTGCCCAAAACCCTGGACCTCATCGTCCACGGCGTGGCCATCAACTCTGCCTACACCTCCAAGATCCTGGTGAGCTGCGGCACCAAAGCTTGGGGGCGTCCTGATGAACGTCCTGGGAACTCAGGCTGGACAGAATTAAAGGAATAAAGTAGGGTTGATTAAAATGTAGTGAGAGTGACCCCAGAGCTGCTGGGGAAGGGCTGTCCCTGTTCTCTGTGTTCCCCTCACCTTGTCCCCTGTCCTACCTGCCCAAGGTGAATCTTCAAGAATCTTGGGCAGTACAAGAGCTCAGCCGTGGCTCCATCCAAAGATGGACACCTGGTCATGAGTTTTCACACTTTTATAAGTTTTGGTCCATGTCCATATTGGGGTTAATTGTCCAATCACAGCTCCAGGTTGTGCAGTCCCATCCTCCCAGTTTGCTCTTCTCAATTCCCTGTTTGCACTTTTTGGGGCTGAAGCTGCAGCAGAGTCCTTGGTTCTGGGGCTGGAAAAGGATTGTTTGGTGTGGCTGAGCTGTGAGGAGAACATGTGAAGTTCAGAGTCATATCCTAATGCAGTACGGAGTCTGGAAAATACAAAAGCTTAAACTTAAGGCATTGTTCCATCCGTCCATCCATCCATCCATGCATCCATCCATCCATCCATCCATCCATCCGTCCATCCATCCTTCAATCCATTGTTCCACCCATCCTTCCATCCATCCATCCATCCATCCATCCATCCATCCATCCATCCATCCATCCATCCATCCATCCGTCCATCCATCCTTCCATCCATCCATCCATCCATCCATCCATCCATCCATCCATCCATCCATCCATCCATCCATCCATCCTCCCATCTATCATTTCATCATTCCACCCTGTTCCACACCCGGGTTTGCCATCCTTCATCATTTCTCCCTCCTTTTTGCAGCCACCAGAGAAGGAAGGGGGGCTGCCCCGCCAGGTGGGCAACAAGACCGAGTGTGCCCTGCTGGGCTTCGTGCTGGACCTGAAGCAGGACTACCAGGCCGTGCGCAACGAGGTGCCCGAGGAGAAGCTCTACAAGGTCTGGAACACAATAGAAATTTACCAGGGTAGAAATCCATTTTGGATTTAGGTGAAATCCATTTTGGAATTAAGTGAAATGTGCTGCTTTGCATTATTGAGTCTGGAGCTTGCTAACAGAGGTGAAATGTGCTGTTTTAACCTGTTTGGTGTGTTAACTCTGCTGTGCTCGCAAACTGCTTCAGCTAAGGAAAAAGAATGGGAACTCCCAAACTAAAAAGGGAGATAAGAGGGGCCCCTTGAACTTTGAAACAAAGGTGAGAGCCAAAGCTGAAGCTGCAGACAGAGTGACCAGAGAGTTCTCTGTACAAGGAATAATTGCAAATTGTAACTCAAAACCAGTAAAATGAATATACATAAACCTATAATGAATAGGACCTATAGAACCTATATGAACCTAAAATGAATATACATAAACCTATAATGAATAGGACCTATAGAACCTATATGAACCTATAATGAATATACATAAACCTATAATGAATAGAACCTATATGAACCTATAATGAATATACATAAACCTATAATGAATAGGACCTATTTGAACCTATATGAACCTATAATGAATATACCTAAACCTATTGTGAAACTCTGTGCAAGTAAAGGGCATAAAAAAGGATCGGGAATTCTCAGGGGTGTCTTTTAGGAGGAACAACCCCACATATATCCAGGGCTGTAATAAATACCAGCTTTACATCTTTTACAAGTTGTGGAGTTAAGTTTTGGGGGTTTTTTTTCCCCACAAATCAGGTCTACACCTTCAACTCCGTGCGCAAGTCCATGAGCACCGTGCTGAGGAACAGCGGCGGCGGCTTCCGCATGTACAGCAAGGGCGCCTCCGAGATCATCCTGCGCAAGTAAATCCTGCTCCTGCCCCATCCCCCGGGAATCCTGGGCATCCCACGGGGCAAGGGGGCATGGGTGTGGGTGCTGGGAGGTGCCCAGTGGGGTTTGGGAAAGCTGGAGGGAAAGGGGGTGTCCATACAGGGTGCCAGGAATGGGTTTGGGAAAGTTGGAGGGGGCTGTGAAAAAGGGACACCCCCTGTTTGTAGATGGGGTGCTGGGAATATGGCAAGGAGGTTTTCGGGTGGAATTGGGAAAGCTGGAAGGAGCTGTGGGAGGGGAATGCCCCCTTTTCTGTGGATGAGGTGCCAGGAATGTGCCAAGTGTTTTTTTGGGTGGATTTGTGAAAGTTGGAGGGACTTGTGGAAGGGGAATGTGCCCCTTTTTGTGGATGTGGTGACAGGAATGTGCTGAGAGTGTTTTGGGTAGGTTTAGGAAATCTGGAGGGGGCTGTGATAAAGGAACAGCCCCGTTTTTGTGGATGGGGTGCCAGGAATGTGACAGTGCCTCACTCAGCTCCCGGTCCCCTCAGGTGCACCAAGATCCTGGACAAGAACGGCGAGCCGCGGGTGTTCAAGGTGAAGGACAGGGACGAGATGGTGAAGAAGGTGATCGAGCCCATGGCCTGCCACGGGCTCAGGACCATCTGCCTGGCATTCCGGGACTTCCCTGCGGACGCAGAGCCCGACTGGGACAGCGAGAACGAGATCCTGTCTGACCTGACCTGCATTGCTGTGGTGGGGATTGAGGATCCCGTACGGCCCGAGGTACCAAACCCCCCCTGGCCTGTGCTGTTCCTGGTCCTTTTCCTGCTGCTCAGGGCTGGGATCCCCTCAGGAATTCCAGCAGCTCTTCTGTGTCCCCAGTGTGTTTAAAAAAAGACTGGACATGGCACTTGGTGCTATGGTCTGGTTGAGGAGTTAGGGCTTAGGTTGGACTTGATGATCTTAGAGGTCTCTTCCAACCTCATTCTGTGATTCTGTGAACTCCATCAGCTCCTCTGTGCCCACCCCTGGTGTTCACCCAAGGAATTCCAGCAGCTCCTCTGTGTCCATCCCTGATATTCCCCCAAGGAATTCCAGCAGCTCTCCCTGCTTTGCCCCCAAGGAATTCCAGCAGTTCCTCTGTGGCCATCCCTGATATTCCCCCAAAGAATTCCAGCAGCTCCTCTGTGCCCATCCCTGCTGCAGGCATTTCTCTCCCATTTTTGGACAAAACAATGGCAGCGTGTTCCTACCCAAAATTCCCAATCCTTGTGTTCTGTGCTGCTCCAGGCTGCACCAAAGGTGAATGGAAGCAGCCAGCAAGAATCCTTGGGCTCCTGGAGCTGGTTTTCCCTCTGAGCTGTGTGCTGGGCTAATGCAATAATGCCCCATCCCTGCCTCTGGATGCAGTCTGGAGCTCTCCCCCTGCTCTCCTGGTCCCTGATGAGATGTTCAGGGATCTGGCAATCTGGGAATTGCATTACAGATCCCCTGGCTGCAGCAGCTCTGGAGGCTCCTGATTCGATTTGCTCATTGCTCACTCCAATTTCCTCTCTTCCCTGATGGATAAACCCATTAGTGGGGTGGGAGGGGATGAAATTCCTGCTTTTATGGACGGTCTGGACGTGCCTTGGCACCCAGGGAGGTGGCAGCAAGGTGGCAGCAAGGTGGCAGCGAGGTCCCTTCCCTTTGGAAGGGAGGAAAGGCTGTGTGGGACTGTGAGCAAAGGGTTGGGAATTCTTTGGAGCAGGGACCTGCCCTGTCCTGGTGTCTCTGCTGGATCAGGAGAGCCATGGGCGCCCCAGGGAGGTGACAGCGAGGTGACAGTGAGGTGGCAGCAAGGTGGCAGCGAGGTCCCTTCCCTTTGGGGTGGCAGATGCAGCTCCCCCACCCCTCCAGAGCCCTCCCCAGACCCTTTTAGGGATGAGGAGCTGCCTCACCCCCGGCGTTCCCAGTGCCAACCCTGTCCCTGTCCCCAGGTGCCCGATGCCATCCTGAAGTGCCAGCGCGCGGGCATCACCGTCCGCATGGTGACAGGGGACAACATCAACACTGCCCGTGCCATCGCCACCAAGTGTGGCATCCTGCTGCCCGGGGAGGACTTCCTGTGCCTGGAGGGGAAGGAGTTCAACCGCCTGATCCGCAACGAGAAGGGAGAGGTGGGAGAGCTCGGCCCTGCACAGGCAGGGAGGCTTCTGCAGCTGCAAAAACCCCAAATCCTGAGGGGTTCCCCGAATCCTGAGGGGTTTCCTAAATCCTGAGGGGTTTCCTAAATCCTGAGGGGTTTCCTAAGTCCTGATGCGTTTCCCAAATCCTGAGCGGTTTCCCAAATCCTTAGGGGTTTCCTAAATCCTGAGGGGTTTTCAGGATCCTGCTGGGTTTCCTAAATCCTGAGGGATTTTCAGGATCCTGCTGGGTTTTCAGAATCCTTATGAGTTTCCTAAATCCTGATAGATTTCCCAAGTCCTGCTGGGTTTTCCGAATCTTGCTGGGTTTTCTAGATCCTGCTGGTTTTTCAGAATCCTGATGGGTTTTCTGAATCTTGAGGGGTTTCCCAGATCCTGCTGGGTTTCCCAAATCCTGATAGATTTCCCAAATCCTGATGGGTTTTCAGGATCTTGCTGGGTTTCCCAAATCCCGCTGGGTTTTCCTTGTTTCCTTGCATAAGGAAACTGCTGGGGTGCTCAGCAGTGTTTGGGGTGAAGCCACTGTCCCGTCCCACTTGGGATTTGCTCTCTGGTGGGACAGAAGATTCCTGGGGAGGATTCATTTCCCTCTTCCTGGTCCTGCAGGTGGAGCAGGAGCAGCTGGACAAGATCTGGCCCAAGCTGCGGGTGCTGGCACGCTCCTCGCCCACGGACAAGCACACCCTGGTGAAAGGTGGGCACTGCCCCTCTCCAAGGCTCCTCCCTGGAGTTTTTCCAGCCTGGTCCAGGCTGGGATCCTTCCCTTGGGGTTTAATTTCTTGTTTCCGTGGCAGGAATCATCGACAGCACCGTGGGTGACCAGAGGCAGGTGGTGGCTGTGACAGGGGACGGCACCAACGATGGCCCGGCCCTGAAGAAAGCAGACGTTGGGTTTGCCATGGTAGGGCCAGCCTGGGGGTTTTCCTTTGTTCCATGGGATTGCTTCCAGAACCCATGGAAACTCTTTTCCAAATCTATGGGATGGACTGAAAACCCAAAAAGGGATTTTCTTAGGGTGTTGGGTTGGAGTCTGAGCTGCGTAGGGCTGTGAGAAAGGGGTTGGGAATTCCTTGGAGGTCCCAGAGCAGGGACCTGCCCTGTCCCGGTGTCTCTGCTGGATCCAGGACAGCCATGGGAGGGAACCCCAGGATTTGGTTTTTCCTGCAGCTTTTCACCCCAATTCCAGGCATGGTGCTGGATCAGGCTTTGGGAATTGATTTATGGGGGAAAACTCTGGTTTGATGCCTTTTTATCCTCTCCGAAAGAAGCAGGGAAATAAACCTGCTGTTTTTAACAGGTTTCCTGGGGGTTAATTTAGGGACATGAGCAGGAGCTGGGTGGGGAGCAAATGAGAGATTTTTAGGGAAGTGTTTTTAGAAATGTGCTGAACAGCCAAACTCAATTCCAGAAGCAGGGAAAGCTGTTCCCCTAAACCCCATTCGCTGCAGCAGGCAGGGATTTCCCCTTTGAGGAGGGATTGGGATCTGGGGAATCCGGGAAGACGCCAGGAATGGGCTCGTTTTGGGCAGGGCTTGGAATTCCTGCATGGAATTCCTGCGGGGCGAGCGCCTCGCTGTGCCGGCTCCGGGAAGCGCAGCCCGGCCTGCTGCCCTGGAGATCCTGACAGGGATTTTTGGGGATTTTTTGGGAGTTTTGGGGATTTTTGGGAAGCTGCAGGGCCGTTCTCAGCCCAGGCTGGGGCAGAACCCTCCGGGCTGAGCTCTGCCTCCCTTGGGCTCCCAGCAGAGGTGCCCAGCCCGGGATGGAGCCAATCCCTGATGTGAGGAGGGAGCTGGTTTCCAGCTGTTTCCCAGCTGTTTCCTGTTCATTTTCCAGCTGTTTCCTGTTTGTTTTCCACCTGTTTCCTGTTCGTTTTCCAGCTGCTTCCTGTTTGTTTTCCAGACTGTTTTCCCCCTGTTTTCCAGCTGTTTCCTGGCATTTTCCCAGCTGTTTTCCAGCAGATTTCCAGCTTTTTTCCAACTATTTCCTGTCTGTTTTCCTGTCTGTTTTCCAGCTATTTCCTGGCATTTTCCCAGCAGATTTACAGCTTTCCTCCAGCTGTTTCTCAGCTGTTTCCTGTCTGTTTTCCAGCTGTTTCCCAGCTGTTTTCTGGCTGTTTCCTGTCTGTTTTCATGTCAGTTTTCCATCCCTTACCTGGCTGTTTCCTGGCATTTTCCTGGCTGTTTCCCAGCTGTTTGCTGGCTGTTTTCTGTCCGTTTCCTAGTGTTTTCCCAGCTGTTTCCCAGCTGTTTTCCAGCTTTTCTGCACCATGGTTCTGTCTGGGGAAGCCGGGCCGCCTCAGAGCCTGTCCCTGAAGCCCCTGGAGCTCTGCTGGCCCTGCTGAGCAGGGATTGGCACCAGCTCCAGGGGCTTTTCCTGCTGGGCACATCCCTGGCACACAGCAGAGCCAGGCAGGGCCGTGACTCACCCCTGGCTTTGTCCCCAAGGGCATCGCGGGCACGGACGTGGCCAAGGAGGCCTCGGACATCATCCTGACCGATGACAACTTCACCAGCATCGTCAAGGCCGTCATGTGGGGCCGCAACGTCTACGACAGCATCTCCAAGTTCCTGCAGTTCCAGCTCACCGTCAACGTGGTGGCCGTCATCGTGGCCTTCACTGGCGCCTGCATCACACAGGTGAGCTCACCTGGACAGGTGGGACATGGGAGGTCTAACCTGGGTGAGTGGGACATGGGGGATCTCATCTGGGATGGGTGGGACATGGTGGCATCATCATGGCCTTCACTGGTGCCTGCATCACACAGGTGAGCTCACCTGGACAGGTGGGACATGGGAGGTCTCACGTGGATGGGTGGGACATGGGAGATCTCATCTGGGTGGGTGGGACATGGTGGCATCATTGTGGCCTTCATTGGTCCCTGCATCACACAGGTGAGCTCACCTGGGTGGGTGGGACATTGGGGGGGTTCTCACCTGGGCAGGTGGGACACAGGAGGTCCCAGAGAAAAGAAGAAATATCTTGGGGGGTGTTTTAGGAAGGTGTTAAGTACCCCAGAGCAATTCTGGAGTTCTCTTCAGGAGGAGAGTGAAACAAAGAAGGGAACAAAGGTTTATTTTGGTGGCGTGACATCTTCTGTCCCCTCAGGACTCGCCCCTGAAGGCCGTGCAGATGCTGTGGGTGAACCTGATCATGGACACGTTCGCCTCGCTGGCGCTGGCCACGGAGCCGCCGTCGGAGTCGCTGCTGCTGCGCAAACCCTACGGGCGCAACAAGCCGCTCATCTCCCGCACCATGATGAAAAACATCCTGGGCCACGCCGTCTACCAGCTCACCATCATCTTCACCCTGCTCTTCGCAGGTCAGCCACGGTGCCAGAGTGTCCTGGGAGAGAGGGGAGAGAGGGGAAGGGGGAAAGGAAAGGGGAAAAAAAGAAAGGGAAGGAAGGAAAGGGAAAAAGGAAAGGAAAAAGGAGGAAAGGGAAAGGGGGAAAGGAAAGTTTTTTTCTTTCTTTCTTGATTTCTATTGGTTTTTCTTTCTTTCTTGGTTTCTGTTGTTTTTTCTTTCTTTCTCAGTTTCTCTTTTGGGACATTTTGGTCATTCTATGTCAACGACCTTGATAGAAAATTCATTCAGTGTAAACACAGATCCTCTTCCCAAACTTCCCTGTGGCTCTCAGAAATGCTGTAAAACCTCTTCCACATCTTCCCTTCCCCAATTCCCCTTTTTTCTCCTGCTCAGGGGAGAAGTTTTTCGACATCGACAGCGGCCGGAACGCGCCCCTGCACTCGCCCCCCACCGAGCACTACACCATCGTCTTCAACACCTTCGTGATGATGCAGCTCTTCAACGAGATCAACGCGCGCAAGATCCACGGCGAGAGGAACGTCTTCGAGGGCATCTACCGCAACCCCATCTTCTGCTCCGTGGTGCTGGGCACCTTCTTCGCCCAGGTGACCCCAGCACGGGCGTTTTGCTTTGCTCCATGGGTTATTCCACTGGGATTCCGTGGCTTCTGCTTTGCTCCATGGGTTATTCCACGTGGGTTATTCCATGGGTTATTCCACTTTGCTCCATGGGTTATTCCACGTGGGTTATTCCATGGGTTATTCCACTTTGCTCCATGGGTTATTCCACATGGGTTATTCCATGGGTTATTCCACTTTGCTCCATGGGTTATTCCACATGGGTTATTCCATAGGTTATTCCACTTTGCTCCATGGGTTATTCCATGTGGGTTATTCCATGGGTTATTCCACTTTGTTCCGTGGGTTATTCCACATGGGTTATTCCATGGCTTCCACTTTGCTCTATGGGTTATTCCATGTGGGTTATTCCATGGTTTATTCCACTTTGCTCTATGGGTTATTCCACGTGGGTTATTCCATGGTTTATTCCACTTTGTTCCATGGGTTATTCCACTTTGTTCCATGGGTTATTCCATGGGTTATTCCACTTTGCTCCATGGGTTATTCCATGGCTTCCACTTTGCTCCATGGGTTATTCCACATGAGTTATTCCATGGCTTCCACTTTGCTCCATGGGTTATTCCACGTGGGTTATTCCATGGGTTAATCCACTTTGCTCCATGGGTTATTCCACATGGGTTATTCCATGGCTTCCGCTTTGCTCCATGAGTTATTCCACTGGGATTGCTTCCAGACCATGGAAACTCTGATTTAGTCCAAATCCATGGGATGGACTAAAAACCAAAAATCCCAGCCTGGGTGTGAGGTCCCTGCTCCTTTCTGGTGTCCCATAAGTTTTCCAGTCTGGATGAGATGTCTTTGTACCTCTCTGGTGTTCCACAAAATTTCCAGCCTGGAAGTGAGTGAGGTCCTTGCTCCTAAAATTCCCAGCCTGGATGTGAGGTCCTTGCTCCTCCTCTTGTAATCCCAGGAGAGAGGGAAAGGTGTGGCCCAAGGCGACCTTTCCATGCCCAAGGTGTGACTCTTTCCTCCTGTGCTGCAGATCATCATTGTGGAGTTTGGTGGGAAGCCCTTCAGCTGCTCTGGGCTCACCCTGAGCCAGTGGTTCTGGTGCATTTTCATCGGAGTGGGAGAGCTCCTGTGGGGCCAGGTAAGGGCCAGCCCCAAAATCCTGCCCCATCCTTCCCTCCCTGGCCGTGTTCTCCCTGGTTTTTCTCCAGGGTAGCTCCTTATGAAGGTGTTTAGGATGGGGCTGATGCCCCACCCCAGCAGCAGGAGAGGAGGTCGCTCATCCCTTCCTCAGTCCCACCCTGATGCAGAGGGACACACCCAGAAGTGACAGGGACGTTCCTGGTGTCCCCACTGGGTCCTGGCAGCTCCCCTGGGCTGGTGGCACTGCAGCTGATGCCTTGAGAAGGCTGAGCTGGAAGAGAGACTGGACAGAGCCAAAGAATAAAGCAGGGATTTATTAAAAGGATCTCCTCAATGGATCCACCTTGGGCAGCACAGGAGCCCAGCCAGGGCTGCACCCAAGGTGAACCAAAATGGTCACAAAATGAACCCAAGATGGACCCAAAATGGTCACAAAATGGACATCTGGTCACAGGGTCTCTCACTTTTATAAGTTCTGCTCCATTTGCATATTGGAGTTAATTGTCCAATTACAACTTCGGGTTATGAAGTCCCATCCTTCTTGTTTCTCTCTCTTCAGTCCATGTTGTTAATGCTTTTGGGCCTGAGATTTTGATAATTTGAAATTTGGATCATAGAGAGGGCCTGAAATTTCGATAATTTAAAATTTGGATCATAGAGAGGGCCTCAGATTTGGATCATTTGAAATGTGGATCATAGAGAAGGGATTGTTTTCTCTCCCTACTCTGTGATCAGAGCTCACCAACCCTTAGTACAAAGCTCAGACCCACGCACGAAAGCAGCACAGAATCTAAAAACCCCAAAAGCAAAACCCTGAGGCATCCCCAGGACCTCAGGCTAAGTCCCTGCTGTGTCCCTGCCTGTCCCCAGCTGATCTGCACCGTGCCAACGAGCCACCTGAAGTTCCTGAAGGAGGCTGGGCACGGCATCACCAAGGAGGAGATCCCTGAGGAGGAGCTGCCCGAGGACGTGGACGAGATCGACCACGCGGAGATGGAGCTGCGGCGGGGGCAGATCCTGTGGTTCCGGGGCCTCAACAGGATCCAGACCCAGGTACTGGGGGGCAGCAGGGCTGGGGGGGGCTCTGCCTGCTGTGTCCCCTCCTCTCTCTCTCCCCCTGCAGGGGCTGTGTCTGCAGAGAGGTGACAGCTGCTGCTCGCAGGATGCCATCGCCTCCCGGGCCAGGCTTCGGTCTGTGCCTTTGCAGGGAGCCAGGATAACCTGGATTTGGGGACAGCTGGGGGTGGAGGGAGGCTGTTCTGCTGCAGGCACTGTGCAGGAGGCTGGATGTGCCACTGATGGTCACCTCAGCAGCACAGGAGGCTGTGAGGGGTGCACGGAGCGCCCCAGGCTCTGCCCTGCTCTTGCTGGGATGCTGTTCCCAGTGGGAATGTGCCCAGCAGGGATCTGCCAGCACCAGAGCCTCAAGGTGTGGCTCCTTTGCCACCCCTCTGTGCCACCTCCCCGTGCTGCACACCCAGAGCTCAGCCCCGCGGCACACGACAGGAGAAAATCTCTCACTCTTCTTTTTACATCACTTGGTTCTCCCTGACTTTTTTCCCCTGATTTTTTTCCTTTTTCCCCACCCCAAAAGGGTGGATTTTTGCTCCCACCAAGCCCCTCACTTTCCTTGGAGGCCAGGGCAGAGCTGTCCCATGGAGGGAAAAATCCTGGTGTCCCCAGGCAGGCAGAGCTGCTGGGTCACCTTTGTTCCTTCTCTGTCCCTCCTCTGTGACAAACAAACGGGGACAGGGGCTGGGGCAGAGTTAACTTTCCTTCTCTGAGCTGTCACCTCCACAGTGTCACCTCAATGGCCTCAAGGTGAAGCTCAGCCTCGGTTCCTGGCTGGCTGTGAGCCCCGAGGGGCAGCTGGGCTCTGTGTGGGGGTAACCAGTGCTTCACTGACATGAGGAACGTGCTGGGAGCATCCAGGCCCTCCTGGAAGTGCTGCAGATGTGCTGGAGATCCGGGAGCTCTGCAGGGCTGCAGTGCCAGAGGTGCCCCTGGGGCTGAGCCTGGATCTTCCCAGGTGTTTCCCTGTGCTGGAGCTGAGATGAGCTCCTGCCACGTGAGAAATGGGTGCTGGCACGTCCTGGAGCTTCTTTGGGGTCCAACCTGAGCATTGGGGGGGGCTCCTGTCCGCATTTGGGGTGTGTGAAAAGGGCTCAGGGGAGAAGAGGGGTATCAGAATGGGGCAGGAGCCAAGCCATGTGTGAAACACCTGGAGGAGGTTCCCAGAAGGTGCCACGGGGCTGGCATCACCCAGCCACAAAGTGCCCAGGAAGCCACGGTGGCCCCTGAATGCTGCTCAGTTCCTCGAGCCTTGGGACACATCCACAGGGCAGCCATGGCCCCACCACCAGGGTGCTGCATCCCCAGCAGCCCTGAGGCCTGGGAGAGGGGCTGGGACATCTCCTGGGCTCCATGGAGTGTCCCCAAAGTGCCCCACAGGGCTGAGGCACCAGGAGCCCTTCCCCAGTAGCTGCCCACTCGCACTCTGCCCACCCTCTCTGTCTGTCTCTGCTCCTCCTGTAGATTTTTGGATAACCCCAGGTGTTTCCTCTGCCACTGCCTCCCACCACAGCCCTTCTGGTGGGGGGATCGACCCTGCTGCTCTGGGAAGGGCAGAGCTGGACACTCTCTCTGCTCCAACAGCAAAACCCCACGTGGGTTTCAGGGAGTGTGGGGTGGGCTCTTTCCTCCTTCCTCCTCCTCTTCCTCGCCTCTCCATCCTCCTCCTTCCTTGCTGTCTGTCTGCCCGCCCTCCCCTGTCCCCTGTCCCTGTCCCTGTCCCTGGCCGGGTGTCGCTATCTCACTCTCTGGTTCTTTGCAGATGGACGTAGTTTACACATTCCAGACCGGCGCCTCCTCTTTGCAGGGAGCCCTCAGGAGACAGCCTTCCATCGTGAGCCAGCACCACGATGTAAAAAATGTTTCTAGCCCAACCCATGTAGCTCTTTCCTCCGTCAATTCCACTCCCACCACTTCTGCTGTTGCTGCTGCTGCTGCATCTCCTCCTGCGGGCAGTGAGTGATGGTCTCTATTACAATGCATGACTTTAATGAGCACAGAGAGCACCTGCACCCCCCTAACCCCGCCTGCTCTCTCTCCCTCTCAGCCTTGACTCACACACTCAGTCCCAAACCTGAAGGATGGGGCGGGAAACCCTTCAAAACCCCAGGGTTTTTTTATGCTGTTAACAAAGTTATGAACCTTTCTGGTCCTTTTTCCCCCCCCCAGTTCCTTGTTGCTTCCTCTAGTTTTACCTCTTCTCCTCCTTTGCAGGGCTGGTGTTTGTATCCACCCTCCTGAGGGTGGGCAAAAATTGGCAGTTCTTGCTCAAAAACCCCCCGAGTTCACGAGCATTGCTGGGAGGAGGGCAAGGCTGAGCCCAAATCCTGCTGGTTCTTCCCACTGGCCAGCCCTGGGCCACCCCAGGGATGGGCAGAGGAGTTGCTTGAAATCTCTTCTGGAGGCAGAGTGGCCGCTGGGACTGTCCCCAAGGCTGGCTGAGCCACGGCAAGGAGGGACAAACAGGACCTGCTCCTGCCCTGGGTGCTGCCTGTGGCTCAGCTGGTGACACCTCAGGGCTGCTGTCCCCCTCTCTGTCCCCACCTGGGGACTTGCATGGCCTGGGGACATCCCTGTGCTGCCCTGGGGAGCCAGAGGATCCTCGGTGCCCACCTTGCTCTGCACACTCTGGATCCCAGGGTATGCAGACACTGCTCTGCATGGAAATGGGCATGAAAAACAATTCCTGCTGGACCTCAGGGGAATTCTGGGTCCTGGATCTGGCACTGGATCTCCAGGCCCTAAAAAAAGCATGGAACACAATTCCTGCTGGACCCCAGGGGGAATTCTGGGTCCTGGTTCTGGCACTGGATCTCCAGACCCTAAAAAAAGCATGAAAAACAATTCCTGCTGGACCCCAGGGGGAATTCTCGGTCCTGGTTCTGACACTGGATCTCCAGACCCTAAAAAAAGGCCCTGTCTGTGTTCATCACAGCTTGCTCTGCACATGCTGGATCCCAGGGTGTGCAGACACACAACTCTACATGGAAATGGGCATGGAGGCCACATTCCTGCTGGATCCCAGTGGGAATTCTGGGTCCTGGAGCTGGCACTGGGTTTTCAGACCCTAAAAAAGGCCCTGTCTGGTGCAGGGCTCTCTCTCTGTTCATCGTGGGCTGCTCTGCACATTCTGGATCCCAGGGTGTGCAGACACACAACTGTGCATGGAAAACAATTCCTGCTGCATCCCAGTGGGAATTCTGGATCATGGATCTGGCACTGGGTCTGCAGACCCTAAAAAAAGGCCCTGTCTGTGTTCATCACAGCTTGCTCTGCACATGCTGGATCCCAGGGTGTGCAGACACACAACTGTGCATGGAAATGGGCATGGAAGCCACGTATCAATGGGAATTCTGGATCCTGGCTTTCCAGGCCCCCCCAAAAAGGCCCTGTCTGATGTAGAACCCTCTGTGTGTTCGGTGTTGGGGCTGGTGAGCACGTGGCCCTGGGTTCTGTCTGCAGGCTGGGAGCAGGGAATGTGGCTCTGCTGGATAATTGGCTTTTTTATTGCACAGTCACTTATCCCTGTTCTCCTCTGATTAGAGAAATACCCTCGGTGACTTTCTGGAGAGCTTTCAGGCTCTGCTGTTTATGCACTGTGGGGGAGGAGAGAGAATTTGGGATAATTTTGTTTTCTCTCTGTTTAGCTGACTCTGAGGCTGGCAGCTGATTGGGTTTAACCCCAGCGATTCTGGAGCAGCACAGCTGCCTCCTGCTCCTGCCTGCATCTGGGAAAACCTCCAGGATTTTCTGATGGAATAAAATCTGCTTAGAGGGGCTCAGAGCAGAGGGTTTGCAGGGGTGGGGATGAGACCATAATGCAGCTTTTTTGCAGTCTGTGGATCCATGTTTTCCCCCATTTTGCAGTGAGGGAATAGAAAACTTGGATAGCTCATGCAAACTTCGCCAGGAGCTAACCCAGGTCTCCAAATTTCCTGCTGTTTTCTTGCCTGGATTTCTCTTGTTTCCCTCTGCTGCTTCCCTCTCTCCCAAAGCTCCTCTTCCCTCCACGCAGATCTGTGGTGTCCCTCTCCCATGGATGAGTTTCTCCAGGGCTGGATTTGCTGTGTCCCTTCCTGGAGCTGCTGCAGAGCTCTCAGGAATCCATGCTCAGGTTTTGGCAGAGCCCAGCTGCTCCTGCTGGGAATTCTGCCCTGGATTGAGGGGCTGGGCAGAGCCAGGGGCATGGGATGAGATGCCCAGGGGCTCTCCCCCAGCACGTGGAGGTTTCACGTTCCACAGGAATCGATCCCAAGCCTGGAGGTTGCATTTGAAGCTTCCAGGTGGAGAGGAGGCGGGAGGAGCCGGGCGTGGGAGGGAGGGAGGGGCGGCTCCAGGCTGGAATTCAGCTCTGCTGGCGCTGCCTGCCTCATTCAGAACACATTTCCTCCCTGTTCCCTTCCTTTGAGAGGGAACAGCTGAATTCATCTCGCAGCAGGTGATGGAGAAGGGAGGAAAATCTGAGGGAAGCTGCAGCAGGAGCTCCTTGAGGAGGCTGAGCAAGAGACTGAGCACAGATTCCCTGGAATTGCTCCAGGGAGCCTTCCCTGCTGCTCCTGGCAGTGCTGGACAAATCTCCAGGGCTCTGGAGGTGATTCCTTGGGAGAGGAGATCTCCTGCTCCCATGTGAGAGGGGGAGGCTTCTGTGGAGCTGCTCCTAAATGTGAATTGTAGATGCCACCACCTCGTGGCTGTGACAGTCCCTTGGTCTCCTTGGCCACCTCCTCGTGGCTCTGGCGGTCCCTGGGCTGTCCTTGGCCACCTCCCTGTGGCTGTGACAGTCCCTGGGTTCTCCTTGGCCATCTCCTTGTGGCTCTGACAGTCCCTGGGCTGTCCCTGGCCACCACCTCGTGGCTGTGACAGTCCCTGGGTTCTCCTTGGCCATCTCCTTGTGGCTCTGGCAGTCCCTGGGTCTCCTTGGCCACCTCCTTGTGGCTCTGACAGTCCCTGGGCTGTCCCTGATCACCTCCTTGTGGCTGTGACAGTCCCTGGGCTGTCCTTGGCCACCTCCCTGTGGCTGTGACAGTCCCTGGGTTCTCCTTGGCCACCTCCTCGTGGCTCTGGCAGTCCCTGGGCTGTCCCTGATCACCTCCTCGTGGCTCTGGCAGTCCCTGGGTCTCCTTGGCTTGGTGGGATTGTTCTCCTTGGTTCAGTTGCTGTTTTAGGGCTCAGGACTTGCTGTTCTCAAGTTGTTGCTGATGTGACAGATGATCAGTCTGAGGTGGCCCCGGTGGTGTCCCTTGTCCTGTGCGTTCACCTGAATTGATCCAAGGTCATCAGTGCACAAATCCAGCTCTGAATTGGTTCCCAGCTCACTCAAATTCCCATTTTTCCAGGCCAGTGGTGCTCCAGGCTCATGCAAAGCTCCTTCTGTGGGGCTGGAGACCGAGCACAGACTGAAACTGCTCCAGGGAGCCTTCCCTGCTGCTCCCAGGGGTCTGGGAGAGGAGATCTGGTCCCACATGAGCTCTGCTCCACAGAGCTGAGGCTTCTGCTGCTTCCCTGGAGCCCCAGCAGGGCTGGGATGTGACACTTGTCACCCACCTGAGGCCAAACCTGTGAGCTGGAAGGGTTTGAGGCTGGAATTCCAGAGGATCTGAGGGGAATCCACTGTGCAGGTGTGTTCCCAGAGCTCTCCCTCCCAGTGCAGGGCAGGTGGCAGAGCCATGTCCTGGTGCTCTGGATCTCCTGCTCCAGCCTGGATTTCAGTGGAGCTGCCCCAGGGCTTTCCCAGGATTGTGAAGGAATTCCTTCAGAATATCCAACAGAATCTGAATTGGTCTCCAGCTCCATCCAATTCCCATTTTTCACTGCCTTTGGAAACCACTGGGTTTCCTGCAGGTGCAGGGAAGGCTGCAGAGCTCCAGCAGTGTGGGGAGCCCCACAGAGACCTGGCCCCTCACCGGGATCCTCACAGCACCCACCTGGATCTCTGCTCCCAGGGGCTCCAAAAGAGCTGGAGACACCTTTGGCAAGCCCCAGTCCTTTGCAGAGCTGTAGGAAGGACCCTCCCGAGCCCAGGCACGGCTCCCTCAGTAGAGTTTGCCCCCGCTGTTTGCCTAACCCACCTCTTTTTGGAGCCGTAGTTCCCCCACCTCGTCCGTCCCTTGTCCTTGTGTCCGTCCGTCCACGCCGGGGCGCGCGCACCCCCACACCAATTTAACGACTAATTAACGCCTTCTGGCTCCCGTCCATGCAGACTGGAGATCTTGGGGTGGAGGTTTGGAGTCGTCCTTTGTCTTTTCTTGCAGCTTCTGAGGCTGGTGGGTCCCCAGCACCCCCGTAGTGCCTGACTGCCCCCAGTTCACCGTAGATGTCTCATTTTTGACCGAGCTGTCTGTTCAGTGGTGATTTTGTCGCTGTGGTTGTTCCGTTGTTTTCTTTTTTTTTTGTTGTTGTTGTTGTTTGATGGTTGTCTCTCATCATTTATTTCACTTTCTCCCTCGAGCCCTGCCCTCTGGCAGCACCACTGACCCCTTGTTTTTTTCCTCCCCGCGCCGCCCAGATCAAAGTGGTGAATGCGTTCCGTAGCTCCCTGTACGAAGGCCTCGAGAAACCCGAATCCAGAAGCTCCATCCATAACTTCATGACTCACCCAGAGTTCATCCTGGAGGAAGACGAGCCTCGGACACCATTCCTTGACGGCACCGAAGACGAGCCCGAGCCTGACGGACTCCAAAAGCGAGGTGGGGGCAGCCTGGGGGGCTCCACGGCCCTCAACAGGAACAACAACGCCGTGGACAGCGAGTTCAGCTTCCCCGAGCCCGGGAGCCCCTTCCACAGCCTGGAGACCTCTGTTTGACCTTAGAACTTGGAATTCCCCCTCCTCCTCCTCCTCTTCCTCGTCCTCATCCACCTGGGCCCTGTGTGATCCCAGCACCAGTAACTGATCACACTGCTGCGGTCAAACTGCTCATGCCTGTATCATCATTGGGGGTTTTTGGGGTTTTTTTTGGGGTGGGGTGGGGGTTTAATGTGTTTTTTCTTTTTTTTTTTGTTTCATTTTGTTCTTTTTTTTTACCGTTATTTAGCAGTGGGAACCAGAGTACCACCACGCTGGGTGTTGGGAGAGAGGCTAAGCCAAAAAAAAAAAAACCAAAAAAAAAAAACCAATTGTGCATCTCCATCCCTGATTTTCTGTGGTACTCACCCAGGGGAAGCTGCCAGGTTCTTTCCTCTCCAAGAGTTGGGCTTTTCACTTGGGCTTTTCACTTTGGAAAAATGCATGTTCCAAGGAAATTCAAATTGTTGTAGTCTTACACTCCCTCAGCTCGAAGGCTGGGGGTGCACTTGTGACTTGATTTTATTTTTTTTGTGTTATTTTATTTTTTTTCACATGTGGTTTTTAGGGGTTTTTTCTTCTAATGTTGGGGTTTGCTCTTTGCTTGTGGGATTTGCCCCCCTACCCAGTGGGAAGTGGGGAGGGGAAGTCACTGCTCCAGTGCAAAAATTAAGGAATAAACTAAAAAATCCCAGCCAGGGGAAGGTGTTTACTCCAAGGTTCAGAGATCCAGGCATGCCCACCAGTCTTCCACCTTTGAAAAATGGTACCTGGGCTTCTTCCAACTCCCCCTCTGTGTCAGCCCACACGTTTTTCTCTCTCTGTTTCCAAACTGGGAGGTGAGAAATGATAAATTCTGATTTTCCTGCAAAGGTGGAGGTGAAACTGCCAGGGAAAAGATGGGGAGAGCCCCCCGGTTGTGAGGGATGCAGCTTCTTCCTGAGGAATTCTCTAGGAATTCTCTTCTCCTCCTCTAGGAGAGGCCTCTCTGCTGCTCTTGGTCAGAAACTCCTGGGGAGAGGATTTTTGCAGCTCCTGCCCTCCAGAACAGAGGGGTTTTGCCCTTTTTTCTGTGCTCTTGGGGTCCCCTCAGCCTCACAGTGATCTGGGAGGAGGCTCCAGCCATGCCCAAAAGCCGTGGGAGGATGAGTGGGGATCACCCCAGCTGTTCTTACAGTCCAGTGGAAGGCAGGGATGCCCCTGGATGATCCCAGATTTTCCTGGAGCTTTGGTTTGCCTTGGTTTGCTTTGGTTTGGTTTGGTTTAGTTTGGTTTGGATGGCTGCAGGTCTCCCTGAGGAGGAGCTGCTGGAGGCTTGGCCTCACTTGGCTGATTCTTTTGGAGCTCTTGGGCCCTTCCTCACCTCCAGGCCTGGGAACAGCCCAGTGAGAGTTCATTGCCTTGGAGTTGGCTCTGGATTGTCCCTCTGGCCATCCCTGGAGCTGGAGGCAGGACTTGGGGGAAGCTCTGCCACCTCCCTGCTCTCCTCCATCCCCTCTCCTAGAGCCCTTCCTCACCTCCAGGCCTCAGAACTGAGATTCCAGTGAGAGTCCCTTTCCTTGGAATTTGCTGTGGATTGTCCCTCTGGCCATCCCTGGAGCAGGAAGCAGGACTTGGGGGAAGCCCCTGCTCTCCTCCATCCCCTCTCCTTGAGCCCTTCCTCACCTCCAGGCCTGAGAACTGAGATTCCAGTGAGAGTCCCTTTCCTTGGAATTTGCTGTGGATTGTCCCTCTGGCCACCCCTGGAGGTGGAAGCAGGGCTTGGGCTTCTCCTGGGAGCCACCTCCCTCCATCTCCTTCCCCTGAGCCCTTCCTCACCTCCAGCCCTGGGAACAGCCCAGTGAGGGTCCCCTTTCCTTGGAGGTGGCTCTGATTGTCCCTGTGGCCATCCCAGAGCTGGAGCAGGGCTTGGGCTTCTCCTCCACTTGGGGAAGCTCTGCCACCTCCCTGCTCTCCTCCATCTCCTCCCTTTGAGCCCTTCCTCACCTCCAGCCCTGGGAATAACCCAGTGAGAGTTCATTTCCTTGGAGTTGGCTCTGGATTGTGCCTCTGGCCACCCCTGGAGGTGGAAGCAGGGCTTGGGCTTCTCCTCCTCCTCCTGGGAGCCTCCCTGCTCTCCTCCATCCCCTCTGGCTGAGAGGAGCAGAGCAAACGAGCTGGAAACCAGGCCATTCCCACCCCTGGATGGGCAAACCCTGGGATTCCAAACCCTGAGGGGTTTTTTTTTAATCTTTTTTCTTTTTTTTTCGGGAAAGGCTGGCTCTGGCTGGGTTCTCCTCCCCACCCTGCCCCACCAGGAACGCACAGTGGAATCTCCCGTGCCTTGTCCGAGCACTGCCTGCAGCACCTCCTGCCACGCCAGGCCCAGATCTTTGCCAAGATTTAAGTGTTCCTTAAACCACAAACACAAACCAAGTGTCTCTGTGTCCTTCCCTGGGCTGGGAGGAGGAGGAAGAGGAGGAGGAGGAGGGAAGGATGAGCTCCTTTTTCCTGCTGAGGAAAGGTCTTTATCCCAAAAAATCCCAAATATCCTGAATATCCCGAGTGTCCCACCCTGGTGCTGGCGAGCTGGGCTTTGTTCACTGCCAACAGCAAGAAGAAATTGCCACCACTGCCCGTCCCCAGTGCAAATTCAGTGTCCACCCCATGCCTGGCTCCTCCTTGCCTCCCTCCCCCAAAAATATTTAGATAAATATTATTTTTATTATTTAAAAAAAAAATTAACCCAGGGGAGTGAGGGGATCTTGGGTTAAACACCAGGAAAAACAACACAAAAAAACAATCCCCAAATGAGGGGTGGTTGTGGGGTTTTGGTTCTGTGCTAAAGGTGACGTTGCTTAAAGAAAAAAAAAAACAAAAAAAAAAATCACTTTTTCTATTTTAAATACTTGCAAAAAAACAAAAAAAAAGAGAAGATATGGTGTTCTTACAAGCTTACATAAATATTTATTAAATACTTTTTGGGGGGATGCACCAATTATTTTTTTTTTCCTTTTGATATTTTTTTTAATACCTCAGACCTGTTGAAAAAAAGAAATAAAATAAAAAAAAAAAAAAAGAAAGACTCAAACCAACAACAACTTCAAGCCAACTTTGGAGGCTCTCAAAGTCACTCCCAGAAATCTGTGACTGGCAGGGTTTGCCACAAGGGTCTGGTCGTTCCTTTAGTTTGCTCTATTTTTGTCGTTCTAGTTTCCATTTTAGGAGTGGGGGGGAGGGAGAAATAATGCTATATAAATATTATGCAAAAAAGTAAAAAAAGAAAAAAAAAAGAAAAAGAAAAAAAATCTAGTTTTCTTTAGCTCAGAAACTGATATTTTTACGTCAGCCATATGTATTTTGTTTAAAGAAAAAAAAGAAAATAAAGAGATCTCGAGTCCTGCCGCTGCTTGAGGGCAGTTGCAAGGGACACTTTAATTAATTCCGTGGATTAATTAATTCAGCCATCGGATGCCAGTCAGCTTCCTTTTCTCTGAGCAGCCATCTTTCTACTAGCCGTGAGTTGGATGACACAAATGGGGTTTTTTTATATAAATATCTATAAATTATGTTGGTGTATGGCTGGTTGCTTCAAGTATAAATGTTTCTTGTGCAGATTTCCTGTAAAGTTTTGTTTTTTTGGGTTAAGTTTCAGTGATGTCCTGGCAGCAGCTGACTCTTGGCTTAAGTTATTGAGGACATTACACAAAAAAAAAAAGAAAAAAGAGATTTGGGGGAGATTGGTGCTCCAAAAAAAAAAAAGGCATGGTCGGCGGCACGGACTTTTGGGGACTTTCTGCAACATGCCTTGACTAGGGGGAGATATAAATATCCATATAAATATATATTATTATGAATAATTTCTGGTTTTTTTGCTTTGTTTGAACTGCCACGAGTGCGCGCGGAGCAGGGGAGGGCCGGCGCCGTGCCCGCCAGGAAGCAAAGCCACCCCCTCCCTCCTCCTTGTGATCAACTTGCCTTGGAATGCTTTGTTATTAAAACACTCTGAACATCCTTCTGCATCCAGTTCTTGATCCCAGCAGGGCGGATTTGCGGATTTTCCGTGGATTTTCCGTGGATTTTCCGTGGATTTTCCGTGGAATTGGCGGATTGGTACCAAAGACACCGCGGCCTGTACGTGGCTCACTGGCCAGGCAGCTCTTGAGGTTTTCTCCTGCTGAGGTTTTTATGATTTGCACAGGGAGATGGGTGTGGGGAGGGGGTTTAATTTCTTTTTTTTTTTTTTCCCAAAGGTTTTCCGTGCAATAAAGTGAAATTTTCCAAGCGATCTCAAGAAGGAAATAAACTAAACCGCATTTGAGCATGGGCGGCCTTTTCCCCCTCACACCCGGGCCTGGAGGCCTCAGCCCCTCTCTGAGGGGAAAAAAACCTGAGTTGGACAAAAATCCCATCCCAAATGCCCAAAAGGCATCTCCAGGTGCCACTGCCAGCTCCTGGCACCTCTGGCACCACCTGAGAAGGTTTTTGTCCCTCTCTGGGGGACACCTGGGCCTGCATGGCTTCTGCTCCATCCCCAACCCTCTGAGCCCAAAACGCCTCCTGCACCCCCAAATCTCCCCTAGGGCCACAGGGATGTGGGGGAATCCTTTTCCTGCTCTTTTTCCATCCAAAAAGGATTTTTTTTCCCCCAAATGGGGATTTTGGCATTTCTTCCTCTCCAGTATCCCCCCCTCACCCCGACTCTGCTCTCCCCAAACTCCCCATTTTTCATCCAGCAAAACCCATGGTTAAAAATGCCTTTAGTTTATTTCCTCCCCTTCAATAAATATATATATATATACAGTCTGAACTCAACATTTATGTGTGTGTATATATATTTATCCAACGCTCTCACAAAACAAAACTTTCTTTTGAAGAGGGCACGTGGAGCCGAGTTTTTCTTTTTTTTTCCAGTAACTCAGTATAATAAGCACTGGTATTTTTGTATAAAAAAATGGGAGAGAGAAAAAAAGAAAAAAAAAACCAAAATACAAAACAAAAGACTGAATATTATGTGGTATGCATGACATTAAAAATCAAAACAATGGTGGTTTCAAAGCAATATGTACCCTGGTGTGTTTGCCATATCCTAGAGTCCAGCTTAAAGTGCACCTGATCTGTATTGCATTTTGATATTAATCTCTATGTACAATGTTTTGCATGTAATTTATATGGATCTTGGGAGAAAAAAAAAAAAAGATTCTGAATGAATTGTCCGTTGGCTTCTTCTGAGAAAACAAACTCCAAGCAGAGCTAAAACTCCAAAATGGAAGCAGCAGAGTGCTTGAAGGGTTGGGAAAAGGGGGTGCACTAAGAAAAAAAGAAATGAAGAGGGAGAAGGGGAACGGTTTGGAATCAATAAAGCTTTTGGCTGTTGAGCAGAAATGATTGCATCCAGAGAATAAAATGTGTAACTGTGCCGTGCTCCGTGTGTCCGGCAGCTCGGGGGGTCTGTCCCAAATCCTCCCCAGGACCAGTGGGGTGGAAATGGTTGGGGATCCAACCCAAGCTCTCCTCAGTGTGGGGTTGCTGTCATTTCATTGATTCTTCTTTCATAATCTGGAAGTGAAGTGCCCAAATTGGTGCCAAATGCTACCAAAAAAGGTCCTGCTGGGCCGTGAGGGGCTGCCCTGGTTTAATAATCGGTATAGACCCCATGTGTGGTATTCAGAGACACATAATTCTCTCTCCCAGGATTTTTCCTGGGGAAAAGGCAGTGAGAAGCTTTTGGCTGTTGAGTAAGAAATTCTTACATCCAGAGAATAAAATGTGTAACTGTGCCGCGCTCCGTGTGTCCGGCAGCTCGGAGGTCTGTCTGTCCCAAACCCTGCCCAGGAATTCACATCCCTGAGGGGGCGTGAGGGAGGAGGGGATGGCACCTGGGAGTGGGGACCATTCTGGGGACATCGGGGGGAATTTCCTCAAGGAAAGGGCGGCCAGGATTTGGAAGTGGCTGCCCAGGGAGGTTTGGAGTCCCCCTCAGCCCTTGAGGTGACAAGGAAGGACTGGACGTGGCACTGAGGGCTCTGGAACAGGTGGATGATCGGGGAGGGATTCTCAACCTAAATTCTGTGAGAAGAGGGTAGGATGGAGAAACACGGCCATGTTCGCTTCACAGGGAAAAGATCTGTCTCCTTTTGGAGGATTTTTAAAACGCGGGGAAGCAAAAAAGCACAACAAAATCCACCCCCGCTCCGCCTCAGGCGCCCGCCCGCCCGCCGTCTCCCTTCCCGTCGAGCGGGTGAAGCCACTTCCGGCCGCCATCTTGGCAGCGGGCGCCATCCTTGAGCCGGGCACCGGGACATGGCGGTGGCCCAGGCGGATCTCGGCATTGATGGAGAGGCCCCGTTCGCTTCATAAAGAAAAAATTTTTCCTCTTTTTGAGGCTTTTTGAATCGCGGGGAAGCCAAAAAACGGCAAAATCCACCCCTGTTCCCCCTCAGACCCCCCTCTTCCTGTTGCGCGGGTGAGGGCACTTCCGGCCGCCATCTTTGCAGGAGGCGCCATCTTTGAGCCGGGCACCGGGACCCGGCGGCGGTGACGACGGATCGCGGCAGGATGGAGAAATACGGCCCTGTTTCCTTAATAAAAAATCTTTATCCTCTTTTTGAAGGAGTTTTGAAGTGCGGGGAAGCCTAAAAACAGCAAAATCCACCCCCATTCCCCCTCAGACCCCCTCTCTTCCTATCGGGCGGGTGAAGCCACTTCCTGCCGCCATCTTGGCCGCGGGCGCGCTGAGGCTGCGCGCGCGCCGGGCGCCATCTTTGAGCCGGGCACCGGGGACACGGCAGCGGCGGCGGCCCCGGCGGAGCGCGGCGACAGCGACACGGCGGCCCCCGGGGGCTCGGTAAAACTCCCTGAGCGACCGTAAATAGAGCGCTTCGGAGCCTCCGCGGCGGCTGGTGGGAGATGGGGAGGAACAGGCGAAGGGTGGTGCTGGCTCAATCCCGGCTCCTCCGCAAGGCCGCGCGGCCCCCGCGCCGTCCCCACAGCGGGAGGGGAACGCTGAAGGGCGAGGTGGAATTAGGGGGGAATAAAGCTGGGATTAGGTGGGAATAAAACCGGGATTATGTGGGAATAAAGGCAAGGTGAGGTGGGTTTGATCCCCCGGGGTTTTGGGGAGGGGGAGCTGCGTGCCCGGGGTAGGCCCGAGGCCTTTCCTTGGCGCTCGTCCCCTCTCCAAACTGGCGATCCCAGCCCAGGTATTTTCGGAATCTCCTCATTTTCACTTCAAAACTCCTTTTTTCCTGTTGTAGCAACGCGTCTGAGGGGCATTTCTAACGTAGTCACCTCATTCCCTAAAGGAACTTCAGGAGCTGAGTAACTCTGGATGCAGCCGGGCTGAATTCCTCCCGGAGGTTGTTAAAAACAACGCGAATCCGTGAATTTTTGGTGGTTTTTTCCTTGTTTTTTAAGAGTTATTCCTCCCGGAGGTTGTTAAAACAACGCGGTTCTGTGAATTTTTGGGTTGTTTTTCTTGTTTTTTTAAAGGTTCTGTTTTCTGACGTCGATTTTTGTTATGGAAACGCCAAAAAGCAAATTTGTTGTTGTTGTTGTTGAAGGGATCAAAGCCTCCAGGTTATTCCCAGAATTGCACTCAGGGTCGCATTTCCTAAATAAAACCCGGCTTTATTTGGCTGTAAAAATTAGAAATAAAGAAAAGGGAATTTCCTGGGGAATCAAGGATTTTGGGGTTGAATTTGGGCACAGCTGAAGCAGAGCAGGAGGAGTTTTCCAGGTAAAACTTCCTGGTGGTGTCGTTTCCCAGCTCTAATGACATTTTTCCAAGGTGAAAATCAAATCTTTTTGGGAAAATCGACTTTTTTTTTTGAATTTAAGAAAAGATTCCCGTGAGGGGGAGGAATTGTCATAGGGAATTGCTGCCAGGCCTTGAGGTTGAGCTCAGAAGTACAGAAAATTAAAATAAATTTGCTTTAATTATTGCTGTTTTATTCAAGAGTGGATAGAGCAGCTTCCCTTGGTTTGGGGTTGATTCCTGAGGAGGAAAAGCTGGAGGAGAGCAAAAAAATGGCTAAAAAAAGGCCAAAAAAGGGGTTAAAATGTGGAATTCTTGGTGCTTTCCCTTCTTTGTCACCTGATAAACAGGAAGTGAATCATCAAAGGAATTCAAGGTACAAATGAAGCAGCAGGAGAAAATTTTCCAGAGGAATTTGAGGGTTTGAAATCCAGGAATTCCTCACAGGGAGGTGCAGCAAAACTTCTTTATTTTCCCTTTAAAAATAGAAAAGTTGTGTTGGGTTTTTTAGCCTGGTTTTTGCTGACCCTCAGCTGCTGCATTTTTGATTTGGTTTTTTATATATAATTGGTTTTAAAAAAAAAATTCATTAAAATTTTCATGAATTCTGGACAAAAAACTGTTTCAAATTCTCATTAACTTGAATTCATTCAAGACCTGCTGAGTGCACCAGAGTTACTCATTTTTATTCTGATTTTTTTTTAATTTGACACCAGTTTAAAATTCGACAAAAAATGGATTTTAATGAACCTTTTTTCATAATTAAATCACCTTAATGAAGTTTTTAGACCTTGGAGGGGTTTTTGGGGGGAGGTTTGGTTGATTCTTTTCCTGTTGTTTTGTTTATTTTTTCAAGGTTTTATTCCAATTCTTTAAACAAGATTCAGACTGTGAACTGAAATATGGAAAAACCTGGAAGGTCAAAAAAAAAAAACGTGATTTATTTTCTAAAACAATTCAATCTGAAGGGATTTTCTCTCCCCCCCAGGGTGGTGGATGTAGAAATGTTGCATTTTTAGGTGTGGAAAATACCTGAGGAAAGGAAATTCCACCTTCCAGCCTGGGAATTCCTCCAGCTTTGGGCTGGAATTCTGCTTTTCTCACCCCTCACTCCCAGGATTTCAGCAAACAGAAGAATTCAGGCTTGAAATAATTTGATTTTTAACTCCCAAGAGCATTGGGGGAAACACCTTGGGAAAACTTGAACTTCCACCAGGAGGAGCTCCAGGAGTTTTTAGGAGTAAATTCCCTGGAAAATCCATCAGATTTTGAAGCTCCAAAAGTGAATTTAACCCTGTGGAGATGGAAGAACAGGAGGGAACCTTGCACTTAAATCCTGGTTTATTTTTATTCCCTTTGTCAAGCAGACAAAAAAAAGAAAAAAACCCCTACAATAATTAATATGAGAACCCAACTTTTCCTCTCTTTATTTTAATTTTAGATTTGAGAAAATTCCCTGGCCAAAAAAAAAAAAAAAAATCCTGGAAAATTCACAAAATTTCCTTTGTGTGAGTAAAAGGTTCCAAGTGTTTCTTCTTAAGCTGTACAGAACAATTTCATTGAATTTTGTCCTCCCCAGAGAGTCAGAAATCCTTTGCACAGCAATGTCAGGGGGGTAAAATTGATTTTTATTTGGTTTTGAGCCGGTTTGGTCGCGAGGTTGTGCGGAAAAGAACCCTAAAAATCAGAATTTTTAGAAGAATATCCAAAAGAAAAGTGGGATTCACCTGCAACAAAGGCTGAAAATAAAACCAATTTTGGGTGGCACCCAAACCCCAATCAGCTGCTGCATTGGAGCTAATGCTGGATGAATGATCAGGGAACAGCAGAAATGGAAAAATGGGGAAATTGGATGGAAAACCCCAAATTCCCAACCAATTCCTTGGCTGAGGGATGGGCATGGATGAGTTTGTCCCTGTGCTGTCCCCATGTCCCCAAACCCCCTCATCCAAACCCCCCCAAAAATCGCATTTTTCCCCCAGTGAGGCTTTGATGGGCCAAAATTCCCGATTTTTTTGCTGCTTTTCTCCTTGTCCTGCTGTCCCTGCCTGCTTTGGGGTGTGTATAAACACATTTCTGGGTTTATACACACAAAATTTGGGGGTTTTTTTTTGTTGTTCTTGTTGTTGTACAGGTCATAAATACGGGGGAAGGTTTTTGTGTTTTCTTAATAGGTGAAGAAATCTCAGAAGACCCGAAATTGCAACTTACTGAATTAAATAATTAAAAAAAAAAAATTAAAAAAAAAAAATTAGAAATTTCCCCAGCTATGGAAGATGGAGCCTCATTTTTTTTGCAGCCACTTTGAATCCTGAGTTCATCTTTCAAAAACAAAAAAAAAACCAAAAAGGCGCTGGGGTTTTTTTTTTTAATAAATTTTTTTTGTTGGTTTTTTTTATGATTTTTCTTCTTTTTATTGGAAGAGCTAAAATATCCCTGGCTGTCTCCAGTGTGCCAGATTTGCAATGGACTCAATTCCTCCATTAGTTGTCAGATTGTTCTGAGAGCACCTCAGAGTTTGGAATTGTTGGCTGAGAGGTTCCCTTGGAATTGTCAGGAGGAAAAAACAAAAAAAAAACAAAAAAAAAACCAAAACAAAAAAGGCAAAATTCAAAAATTCTTTCTGCCCCTTTGTTATTCATTCACGGACTCCTTCGGCCTACAGGAGAGGGGAACTGCATGGCTGGGAAGATCAGAGCCTGTGCTCAACGTGGCCAGGTGGGTGAGCTCCAGAATGCCCTGAGGCTGAGGGGAAATCAGGGGAAAATGCACTGGGATGGAGGGGAAAATCGGGGGAAAAAATGCACTGAGATTGAGGGGAAATCAGGGAAAAATGCACTGGGATTGAGGGGAAAATCGGGGAAAAAATGCACTGGGATTGGGAGAAAAATGCCCTGAGATGGAGGGGAAAAATCGGGGAAAAAATGCACTGGGATTGGGGGAAAAATGAGGGAAAGAATACCCTGAGATTGAGGGGAAATCAGGGAAAAAATACTCTGGGATTGGGGGAAAAATCAGGGAGAAAATGCACTGGGATTGGGGGAAAAATGCCCTGAGATTGAGGGGAAAAATCGGGGGAAAAATAACCTGGGATTGGGAGAAAATTGGGGAGAAAATGCACTGAGATTGGGGGAAAAATGCCCTGGGATTGGGGGAAAATCAGGGAAAAAGTGCACTGGGATTGGGGGAAAAATGCCCTGAGATTGAGGGGAAAAATCGGGGAAAAAATGCCCTGGGATTGAGGGAGAAATGCCCTGAGATTGAGGGGAAAAATCGGGGGAAAAATAACCTGGGATTGGGGAAAATATCGGGGAGAAAATGCACTGGGATTGAGGGGAAAATCAGGGAAAAAATGCACTGGGATTGAGGGGAAAATCAGGGAAAAAATGCACTGGGATTGGGGGGAAAAATCAGGGAGAAAATGCACTGGGATTGGGGGGAAAATCAGGGAGAAAATGCACTGGGATTGGGGGAAATATTGGGGAAAAATGCACTGGGATTGGGGGGAAAATCAGGGAGAAAATGCACTGGGATTGGGGGGAAAATCAGGGGAAAAATGCCCTGAGATTGGGGGAAATATTGGGGAAAAATGCACTGGGATTGGGGGGAAAATCGGGGAAAAATGCAATGGGATTGAGGGGAAAATCAGGGAAAAATGCAATGGGATTGAGGGGAAAATCAGGGGAAAAATACCCTGGGATTGAGGGGAAAATCAGGGGAAAAATGCACTGGGATTGGGGGAAAAATGCCCTGAGATTGAGGGGAAAATCAGGGGAAAAATACCCTGAGATTGGGGAAAATATTGGGGGGGAAATCCACTGGGATTGAGGGGAAAATCAGGGAAAAATCTCCTGGGATTGAGGGGAAAATTGGGGAAAAAATGCACTGGGATTGGGGGAAAATTGGGGAAAAAATGCCCTGGGATTGAGGGGAAAATTGGGGAAAAAATGCCCTGGGATTGAGGGGAAAATTGGGGAATAAATGCCCTGAGATTGAGGGGAAAATCAGGGGGGAAATGCCCTGAGATTGAGGGGAAAAATCAGGGAAAAAAATCTCCTGGGATTGGGGGGAAAATGCCTGGGGATGGGGGAAAAAATCCTCCTGGGATCAGGGAAAAATCCCCCAGGATTGGGAAATGGGATTGGGGGGAAATGCCCCTGGTTTAAGGGAAAAAATGCCCTGGAATCAGGGAGAAAATCGGGGAAAAATCCTCTGGAATTGGGGGGAAAATCCTCTGGAATTGGGGGGAAAATGCCATGGGATCGAGGGGAAAAATCAGGGGGAAAATCATCTGGGATTGGGGGAAAAAATCCTCTAGGATTGGGGGGAAAATGCAATGGGATCGAGGGGGGAAATTCAGGGAAAAAATCCTCTGGGATTGGGGGGAAAAATCGAGGGGAAAATCCACTGGGATTGGGGGGGAAATGCCCTGGAATCAGGGAGAAAATGAGGGAAAAAATCCCCCTGGGACTGAGGGGAAAATCCTCTGGAATTGGGGGGAAAATGCCATGGGATCAAGGGGAAAAATCAGGGAAAAAAATCGCCTGGAATTGGGGGAAAATCTGATGGGACTGGGGGAAAGATCCCCCTGGATTAGGGGAAAGATGCTCTGAGATTGGAGGAAAACTGGGGGAAAATCCCCTGGGATTGAGGGGGAAAATCCCCCTGGGATTGAGGGAAAAAATCCCCTGGAATCAGGGAATAGGATTGGGGGAAAATCCCATGGAATCAATGAAAAATCCTCATGGGATTTGGGGAAAAATCCTCGTGGGATCAGGGAAAAATTCCCTGGATTTGGGGAAAGAATCCCCTGGGACAGAGGGAAAAGTGCCCTGGGAGTGGGGGGAAATGCCCCTGGGATTAGGGGGAAAATCCTTTGGGATCAGGGGAAAAATAACCTGGGATTGGGGAATGGGATTTGGGGAAATTCCCCCTGGGATTGGTGTGAATAGTGTAATATTGAAATATTAATAATAATAATAATAATAATAATAATAATAATAATAATAATAATAATAATAATAATAATAATAATAATAATAATAATAATAATAATAATAATAATAAATTTATTAGCTTTATTATTAAACCATTCCTGTATCATTGCCAAGTCCAAATTACACCCAGCTTTTGAAGAAGTGCCTCTCTTTTGGGTCACCCCCTAATTTTTTGGGTCACACACAATTTTTCTCTACCTCAAGACCCAGAACTGTTATTAAAGTCACAAATTCCAATTTATGCTGCAGTTTTGGCCGAATCTGCCTAAAAATCTGTTTAAAAAACCCCAGAATTTCAACAAATTCTGCTTCATTTTTCTGCCCAGCTGATTTCAACTCACTCCCTCCTTCCAAAACCGAATCAACCAACAGGAAACCACTCTAAAAACCCCAATTTTTATTCTCCAGGGTTACTTTTAAAAAGCAGCTGTCAGAGCTAAGCCAGGAGAAGCCTTTGAGAAGCCAATTCTGCCCAGGCTGGAGGAGGGAGAGCCCTGGGAGGAGCAAAGCCCGAGTAGGGAGTGAGGATCCCTGCAGCATGTCCAGCCAGGGCGATGACTGCTACTTCTACTTCTACTCCACCTGCACCAAGGTGGGTGTGGGATGCCCTGTGCAGCCTGGGCTCTGAGCAGGGGCTGGGCCAGGGGGTGAATCCTCTGCATTCATTACTTCATTAATTACTTCATTAATTAGTGCTGATTATTGAGTCCTTGTGCAGCTCCCACTTCGGAAATCTGGAATTTTTTTTTTCCTTTCCGACCCATTTATTTTTTAACCCCTAAACCCAAACCCTAACCCTAACCCTGTCCTTTTCCCATCCCATTTTTAACCCTGTCCTTTTCCCATCCCATTTTAACCCATGTCCTTTTCCCATCCCATTTTAACCCATGTCCTTTTCCCATCCCATTATTTTAACCCTGTCCTATTCCCATCCCATTATTTTAACCCTGTCCTTTTCCCATCCCATTATTTTAACCCTGTCCTTTTCCCATCCCATTTTTAACCATGTCCTTTTCCCATCCCATTTTTAACCCCTGTCCTTTTCCAACCCATTGTTTTTAACCTGTGTGCTTTTCCTTTCCATCCCATTATTTTAACCCTGTCCTTTTCCCATCCCATTATTTTAACCCATGTCCTTTTCCAACCCATTTTTAACCCTGTCCTATTCCCATCCCATTTTTAACCCTGTCCTTTTCCAACCCATTTTTTTAACCTTTATGCTCTTCCCATCCCATTTTAACCCTGTCCTTTTCCCATCCCATTTTAACCCTGTCCTATTCCCATCCCATTATTTTAACCCATGTCCTTTTCCCATCCCATTTTAACCCTGTCCTTTTCCAACCCATTTTTAACCCTGTCCTTTTCCAACCCATTGTTTTTAACATTTCTGCTTTTCCTTTCCATCCCATTTTTTAACCTTTGTCCTTTTCCCATTCCATTTTAACCCTGTCCTTTTCCCATCCCATTTTTAAATCTTTGTCCTTTTCCCATCTCATTTTTAACCCTGTCCTTTTCCAACCCATTTTTTTAATCTTTATGCTCTTCCCATCCCATTTTAACCCTGTCCTTTTCCCATCCCATGTTAACCCTGTCCTTTTCCATCCCATTGTTTTAACCTTTGTCCTTTTCCCATCCCATTGTTTTAATCTTTGTGCTTTTCCCATCCCATTTTTTAACCCATGTTCTTTTCCCATCCCATTTTTTTAACCTGTGAGTTTTTCCTTTCCATCCCATTTTTTAATCTTTATGCTCTTCCCATCCCATTTTTTTTAACCTTTGTCCTTTTCCCATCCCATTTTTTAATCTTTGTGCTTTTCCCATCCCATTTTTTAAGCTGTGTGATTTTCATTCAGATCCAATTCCCTCTAAAATTCCTCATTCCCTACCTGGGCTCTGAGCAGGGACTGGGAGAGGGAAGAAATCAATTCCTCTTCGTTAATTAATTAATTCATTCATTCAGTCATTGATTTTTGATTCATTGTTACACTCCCACTTCTGAAATCTGGGGTTTTTTAACCTGGGTAATTTCCCTTTCCATCCCATTTTTTTAACCTTTCTGCTTTTCCCACCCCATTTTTTAAGCTCTGTCCTTCTCCCACCCCAGGTCCTTTTTCCATCTCCTTCCCAAACTCATTTCTCCTTTGAAACTGAGTGGTTTCCCCCCATGTTTTGCTGATTTCTGGGATTTCAGGAAGATTCCTGTTTTTAACCCCATTTTTTGCCGATTTCTGGGATTCCAGGGCGATTCCTGTTTATTTCTGGCATTCCAGGTAGATTCCTGTTTTTAACCCCATTTTTTTTTTGCTGATTTCTGGGCATTCCAGGGCGATTCCTGTTTTTAATCCCATTTTTTTTGCTGATTCCTGGCATTCCAGGTAGATTCCTGTTTTTAACCCCATTTTTTTGCTGATTCCTGGGATTCCAGGGAGATTCGTCTTCTTTAATCCCATTTTTTGCCGATTTCTGGCGTTCCAGGGCGATTCCTGTTTTTAACCCCATTTTTTTTGCTGATTTCTGACATTTCAGGTAGATTCCTGTTTATTTCTGGTGATTCCAGGTAGATTCCTGTTTTTAATCCCATTTTTTGCTGATTCCTGGCATTCCAGGGTGATTCCTGTTTATTTCTGGCATTCCAGGGTAGATTCCTGGTTTTAATCACATTTTTTTTGCCAATTCCTGGCGTTCCAGGGCGATTCCTCTTCTTTAACCCCATTTTTTTTTGCTGATTTCTGACATTTCAGGTAGATTCCTGTTTATTTCTGGCATTCCAGGGTAGATTCCTGTTTTTAATCCCATTTTTTTTGCCAATTCCAGGGCGATTCCTGCTCCTTCCGGCACTGTGAGGCCGCCCTGGGCAGTGAGACCGTCTGCACCCTGTGGCAGGAGGGCCGGTGCTTCAGGAATGTCTGCAGGTTCAGGCACATGGAAATCGATGTGAGTACCCCCAAAAACCCTCCCTAAACACCCCAAAATCACCCCAAACATTTAGGGGATAAATGGCCTTTCCCAGCAAAAAAATTTCCAGGGATTTTGTTACCAGGAAGGAAGGAAAAAAAATCAATTTTTAAGGTGTTTCTCAGCAGGAAATGTTTGTGTTCAATGATGTTATTGCCTAAATTTTTGCCAGATTTCCACTCTTTTAATGTGGTGGAAAACAAATTCCTGGGAGCTGAAATCCTTCCCAAATTTTTCATCCTGAGCTCTTGGAGTTCCTGAGAGCTGGAATTTCTCCTCAAATTTTTTTATCCTGAGCTCTCCCCAGATTTTTATCCTGAGCTCTTGGAATTCTTGAGAGCTGGAATTTTCCCCTGAGCTCTTGGAATTCTTCCTGAATTTTTTTATGCCGAGCTTTTGGAATTGCTGAGAGCTGAAATTTCTCCCCAATTTTTTTATCCTGAGCTCTCACCAAGTCAAGGTTTTTATTCTGAGCTCTTGGAATTGCTGAGAGCTAGAATTTCTCCCTAAATTTTTTATTCTGAGCTCCTGGAATTCCTGAGTGCTGAAATTTCTCCCCAATTTTTTTATCCTGAGCTCTCACCAAGTCAGGGTTTTTATCCTGAGCTCTTGGAATTCCTGGGAGCTGAAATTTTCCCCAGATTTTTATCCTGAGCTCTTGGAATTCTTGAGAGTTGGAATTTTCCCCTGAGCTCTTGGAATTCTTCCTGAATTTTTTTATTCTGAGCTCTTGGAGTTCCTGAGAGCTGAAATTCTTCCCAAATTTTTTATCCTGAGCTCTTGGAATTCTTGAGTGCTGAGTTTCTCCCCAAATTTTTTATCCTGAGCTCTCACCAAGTCAAGGTTTTTATCCTGAGCTCTTGGAATTCCTGAGAGCTGCAATTTCTCCCCAGTTTTTTTATCCTGAGCTCTTGGAATTGTCCAGGGCAGGGAGAAAAAAAAAAAAAAAGAAAAAAGATGGGAAGGAGCTAAAGCTGTGAAAGATAAATTCAGGTGGATTTCACCAGCAACTGAAATGTGAAAATGGCAATTTTTCCCTGTGAATAATCCCAATCTTTTGGATTTTGTATTGTGAATAATCCATCCCATTCTTTTGGATTGTGTATTGTGAATAATCGAATTATTTTGGATTGTGTATTGATTTAACTCCGTGACTGTGTCCTGCCTTTCCCAGCTGAATGCTAGGAAGAAAATCCAGCTAAATTCCATTTTTCCAGTCTCATTTTTCCCTGGGATTTGTGGTTTTCCCAGCACTATTTTGAGCTGGGATTTGTGGTTTTCCCAGCACTATTTTGAGCTGGGATTTGTGGTTTTTTGCCCAGAAAAAGCGCAGTGAGATCGCCTGTTACTGGGAGAACCAGCCTGGGGGCTGCCAGAAGCACAACTGTGCCTTCCACCACACCAAGGGCAGATACGTGGATGGGCTCTTCCTTCCCCCCAGCAAAAGTGAGTTTTCCATCTCTTTTTCCCTCAAAATATCCAAAAATTCATGGGGAATATTCCATAAAATTACCTGGATGTGATCTTCCTTCCTCTGAGTAAAAGTGAGTTTGCAACTTCCTTTTCCCTTCTCCTTTGATCCCTTTATGTGTGTGAAGTACAGAACTGAATCCAGGAGTGTTATCAAATTCACAACTTTTGGGGTAAAAATTTAGGATATTTTTCCTTTTCCCTTCCTTTTCCCTTTTCCTTTAATCCCCTTATAGGTGTGAAATACAGAACTGAATCCAGCAATGTTCTGTTATCAAATTCACAACATTTGGGGTAAAGCTGTGGGATATTTTTCCTTTTCCCCTCTCCTTTAATCCCCTTATAGGGGTGAAGTACAGAACTGAATCCAGCATTGTTCTGTTATCAAATTTACACCATTTTGGATAAAAACCTGGGATATTTTTCCTTTTCCCTTCTCCTTTAATCCCTTTATGTGTGTGAAATACAGAACTGAATCCGGGAGTGTTCTGTTATCAAATTTACAACTTTTGGGGTAAAAATTCAGGATATTTTTCCTTTTCCCTTCTCCTTTAATCCCTTTATGTGTGTGTAGTACAGAACTGAATCCAGGAGTGTTCTGTTATCAAATTTACAACATTTTGGATAAAAACCAGGGATATTTTTCCTTTTCCCTTCTCCTTTAATCCCCTTATAGATGTGAAGTACAGAACTGAATCCAGGAGTGTTCTTTGCTCAAATTTACACCATTTGGGGTTAAAATTCAGGATATTTTTCCTTTTCCCTTCTCCTTTAATCCCCTTATAGATGTGAAATACAGAACTGAATCCAGGAGTGTTCTGTTATTAAATTTACACCATTTGTGGTCAAAATTCAGGATATTTTTCCTTTTCCCTTCTCCTTTAATCCCCTTATGTGTGTTAGGTACAGAACTGAATCCAGCAGTGTTCTTTTCTCAAATTCTCACCATTTGGGGTTAAAATCCAGGCTATTTTTCCTTTCCAGCCACTCTCCCCAGCCCCCCCGAGGCTGCAGAGGATGAGGTGAAGTTGGTGCAGCTGCAGCAGAACAAACTCTCAGCTCAGTCCAACCCCTGCCCTCAGCTCAGGGGGGTGATGAAAGTGGAGAATTCTGAGAATGTCCCCAGTCCCACCCACCCCCCAGTGGTCATCAACGCTGCAGATGATGATGAAGATGATGATGGTGAGAAATCTTGAGTTGATTTCAATTATTTCTGCTTCAAATCGAGATGAAAATCGATTTTCATTTTCAAATTTTCAAATTTGGCGTTTCAGCTGCAGAAAAGAATCATAATTTTTTTATGTTGTTGTTGAAATATTAAACTATATAAAAATGAACTATTTTTTTGCTAAATCCCTCCTTCATAAATCATTTTATTTTGGGGTTGATTTTCCTTTCCAGACCAGCTTTCTGAAGAAGGAGAAGAAACCAAAACCCCAGTGCAGCCTCCACCCCCAGAGAGCCACAATGGGCTGAGGGTGATTTCCACCAGGAAATCCAACCCCAGTGCAAAGCCAGGTAATGCAAGGGCTGCAGCTTGGGAGTTAAAACCCAAATATTCCTAAAATAAACCAGGGCCCAGGGATCCTGAATGGAATCCTGGAGCTCATTCCCTCCTAAGCAGGGAAAAGCCTCCTGGTTTGGTTTTGTGGGGCAAAGTGGAGTTTGAAGTGGAGTTTAGGGGGTTTAAAGTGGAGTTTAGGGGGTTTGAAGTGGAGTTTAGGGGGTTTAAAGTGGAGTTTAGGGAGTTTAAAGTGGAGTTTAGGGAGTTTAAAGTGGAGTTTAAGGTGGGAGTTTTAAGGTGGGAGTTTGAGGGGTTTAAGGTGGGAGTTTAGGGTGGGAGTTTTAAGTGGAGTTTGAGGTGGGAGTTTTAAGGTGGGAGTTTGAGGGGTTTAAGGTGGAGTTGGGAGGGGTTTAAGTGGGGTTTGAGGGGGTTTAAAGTGGAATTGAGGGGATTTTAAATGGGGTTTGAGGAGTTTTAAATGGAGTTGAAGGGGTTTAAAGTGGAGTTGGAGTGCTTTAAGTGGAGTTTGAGGGGTTTAAAATGGGGTTTAAGGAGTTTTAAATGGGGTTGAAAGGGTTTAAAATGGAGTTGAGAGGGGTTTAAAGTGGGGTTTGAGGGGTTTAAACTGGAGTTTAGGGTGGGAGTTTTAAGGTGGGAGTTTGAGGGGGTTTAAGGTGGGGTTTGAGGGGTTTAAGGTGGGGTTTGAGGGGTTTAAGGTGGGGTTTGAGGGGTTTAAGGTGGGAGTTTGAGGGGTTTAAGGTGGGAGTTTGAGGGGTTTAAAGTGGAGTTTGAGGAGTTTTAAATGGACTTTAAGGAGTTTTAAATGGAGTTGAAGGGGTTTAAAGTGGAGTTGAGAGGGGTTTAAGTGGAGTTTGAGGAGTTTTAAATGGACTTTAAGGAGTTTTAAATGGGGTTGAGGGGGTTTAAAATGGAGTTGGGAGGGGTTTAAGTGGAGTTTGAGGAGTTTTAAATGGACTTTAAGGAGTTTTAAATGGGGTTGAGGGGGTTTAAAATGGAGTTGGGAGGGGTTTAAGTGGAGTTTAGGGAGTTTTAAGTGGAGTTTAAGGTGGGAGTTTTAAGGTGGGAGTTTGAGGGGTTTAAGGTGGAGTTTGAGGAGTTTTAAATGGACTTTGAGGAGTTTTAAATGGAGTTGAAGGGGTTTAAAGTGGAGTTGAGAGGGGTTTAAGTGGAGTTTGAGGGGTTTAAAATGGGGTTTGGGGGGTTTAAAGTGGAGTTTGAGGGGGTTTAAAGTGGAGTTTGGGGAGTTTTAAGTAGAGTTTAAGGTGGGAGTTTTAAGGTGGGAGTTTGAGGGGTTTAAGGTGGGGGTTTGAGGGGGTTTAAAGTGGGGTTTGAAGGGTTTTAAGTGGGGTTTGAGGGGTTTTAAAATGGGGTTTAAGGAGTTTAAAGTGGAGCTGGGAGGGTTTAAAGTGGAGTTGAAGGAGTTCAAAGAGTAAAAATGGAATTTAAAGAGTTGGAGTTTAGAAATGTCTGAACAAGTCCCTTCAGGCATTGTGGAGATCCAGATCCAAGGAATTCAGGAATCTTTAATCCCTCTCCATGACTTTGTGCTCTAAAATGTGGATTTTCCCTTGGAGGGTGCAAGAAGCTGCCACTTTTCCAAAACCCCACCTGTTCTGGGGCTTCTTAACCCCTGGGCAGTGGTGAGAGGGTTTATTCCCAATATTCTGAGAAGGATTTACCTCAGTTTCCTGAACCATTCTGTGCTTCCAGATGACAACTTAAATTTTGGAATCAAAACCTTGGAAGAGATCAAACTGAAGAAACTCAAGGAAAAAGCCAAAAAACAAGGTGGTGAGTTAATATCCCTAAAACCCCTCCTCATCCTTCTGTTCATCCTTGGCTTTAATCCTGATTTTCCTTGGATAATTTGCAAGGAATTAATTAATTATTTTGTAAATTAGGAGATCCTACAGGAACAAAATTCCATTTTTTTTAGAGGGGCTACACTGGCATGTGGCAGCTGGTGTTTTCCTGCTTAGAATTCTGAGGAAAATTCCTAAATATTCTGATTTTTCCCTGTTTTTCCATGCAGAAGGTCCTTCAGGAGTGGCTGTGGAGCCTCTCCAAGCCCGGAACATTCCTGTGCCAGAGAAGGAAAATGTCAGGACTGTGCTGAGAACTGTGACCCTCTCCTCCAAGGAAGGTAAAAAAACCCCAAAATTCCCCTTCCACACCCCCTAAATCCAATCAATGATCATTAAGAGAATTATCTTAATAATCCTCAGATGTTAATTAGGAGAATTATCCTCATAATCCTGAGATTCACTGATTTGAATTTTAGAGGTTGTGGTTGTGTTGGAAAAGTTGGGAATTTTTTGCAGGTGTTGGGTTTGGTTGGGATTAATTCAGGAAGTTTTATCATTAAAACCAATTTCCCTCCCAGTCCTTCTTTAATTCCTGTGCTTTGACAGCCAGAAAATGGCTTTTTTTTTGGGATAAGGGGATTTTTTGGTGCAAAAAATGATTTTTTTTTGTTTTAGGGGAGGACCCTGTGATCCAGCTGAACCTTCCTGACAGACTGGGGAAAAGGAAAACCCTCATGGGTGAGAGCTTTTTGTGAAATATTTACATCCAAACCAGCAAATTCTGTCAGCACCTAAACCCCAAAACCCTTCCAAATTCACCTGGCAGGATTCAGGTTCCTGCAGGGGAATATCCTGCAAGAATTTCTCGTTTTTTGTGTCTTTGGAAAGGTGGCAAAACTTTCCTTCCCCTGAGGAGGAGTGTGGCTGACAGGCTGGGGAGGAAGGCAGAGCTGCAGGAAAACTCCGAAAAGGCCCCAAAGAGAGGCACAGGTACCAAACCCCCCTGGAATTCCCTCCTGGAATTGTGTCCAGCTGCCCCAAATCTTGTGGGATTTGCTGCTTGAGAATTCTGTCCAGCTTCTCCCTTTGGGATATTCTGTCCAACTTTTCCCTTTGGGGTTTTCTGTCCAGCTTCTCCCTTTGGGGTTTTCTACTTGGGATTTGCTGCTTGAGAATTCTAAATGTCCAGCTTTTCCCTTTGGATTTTCCCTTTGGGGTTTTCTGTCCAGCTTCTCCCTTTGGGGTTTTTCTGTCCAGCTTTTCCCTTTGGGATTTTCTGTCCAGCTTTTCCCTTTGGGGTTTTCTGTCCAGCTTTTCCCTTTGGGGTTTTCTGCTTGGGATTTTCCCTTTGGGGTTTTCTATCCAGCTTTTCCCTTTGGGCTTTTCTGTCCAGTTTTTCCCTTTGGGATTGTCTGCTTGGCATTTTCCCTTTGGGATTTTCTGTCCAGCTTTTCCCTTTGGGATTTTCTGTCCAGCTTTTCCCTTTAGGGTTTTCTGTCCAGCTTTTCCCTTTGGGATTTTCTGTCCAGCTTTTCCCTTTGGGATTTTCTGTCCAGCTTTTCCCTTTGGGATTTTCTGTCCAGCTTTTCCCTTTGGGCTTTTCTGTCCAGCTTTTCCCTTTCTGTCCAGTTTTTCTGTTGGGATTTTTCTGTCCAGCTTTTCCCTTTGGGATTTTCTGTCCAGCTTTTCCCTTTGGGATTTTCTGCTTAGGATTTTCTGTCCAGCTTTTCCCTTTCTGTCCAGTTTTTCTGTTGGGATTTTTCTGTCCAGCTTTTCCCTTTGGGATTTTCTGTCCAGCTTTTCCCTTTAGGGTTTTCTGTCCAGCTTTTCCCTTTGGATTTTCCCTTTGGGATTTTCTGTCCAGTTTTTCCCTTTGTATTTTCTGGTTGGGATTTTTCTGTACAACTTTTCCCTTTGGGATTTTCTGCTTAGGATTTTCTGTCCAGCTTCTCTCTTTTGGATTTTATGTCCAGTTTTTCTGCTTGGGATTTTCTGTCCAGCTTTTCCCTTTGGGATTTTCTGTCCAGCTTTTCCCTTTGGGATTTTCTGTCCAGCTTTTCCCTTTGGGATTTTCTGTCCAGCTTTTCCCTTTGGGGTTTTCTGTCCAGCTTTTCCCTTTGGGGTTTTCTGGTTGGGGTTTTCTGTCCAGCTTTTCCCTTTGGGATTTTCTGTTCCTCCTCTCTTCTCCTGCTTCTTTCTGCACGTTGGTTGTGGTTCCAAGGTCACTCTGAGTACCACTGAGGTGCTCTCCTGTCTCATTTCCCACCCAAAATTGGGATTTTTGCCACTTTTTTTTTACTGTTTTGTTTTTTAGTTCAAGTCCTGAAGTCCCTGAAGGAGAGGCTGGGGCTGCCCTCTGAACAGAGCAGCACTGAGACAGGTAAAAATTAGATTTAAAATATTCTTCTTGTTGTTGTTTTTTTCCCAAGAACCTTCTTGCAGCCTTGAATTGCTGATTTTAAAGGATAACTGGCTCTGATTTTCCAAATCCAAGTGGTTCAAAGGAGGGGGAGAAGTTTTGTTCAGGGAATTGGGATTGTCCTGCCTGAAGAGGAGGAGTTTTGGGGTGATCTCATTGTGGCCTGAAGGGAACCTGCAGGAAAGGTGGAGAGGGAATATTCCCAAGGAATGGAGGGACAGGATGAGGGGAATGGTCAGACCAATGGGGTTTAAATGGATTTTGGGAAGGAATTGTTCTCTGGAAGGGGCTGGGATGGAATTCCCAGGGGAGCTGTGGCTGCTCCATCCCTGGGAGTGTCCCAGGCTGGGCTGGACAGTGAATAAAAATAATAAAATGGGTAAAATTCATCAAATGACACCCTGGCATGGTGGGAGGTGTCCCTGCCCATGGCCTTGGATGGTCCCTTCCAACCCAACCCATTCCAGCCTTCCCTGGGCTGCTTTGCTGGGATATTGGGAAGAAATCCTTGCCTGGAATTTCCATGGCTGCCCCTGCATCCCTGGGAGCCCCCAAGGCTGGGTGGGGTTTGGGGCACCCTGGGACCATGGGAAGGGGCATGGGGTGGCAGTGGGATGATCCTTAGGATCTTCCAACCCAAACCATTCCAGGATTCCATAAAAAAAATCCCAGTTTAGGACCCCAGACTCATTCCCAGCCTGTAAATTCCCAGAGAATCCATGGCTGCCCCATCCCTGGAGTCCCCAAGGCTGGATTGGCTTTGGGGCACCATGGGAAGGGGCATGGGATGATCCTTAGGATCTTCCAACCCAAACCATTCCAGAATTCCATAAAAAATCCCAGTTTCAGGACTCCTGATGCATTCCCAGAGAATCCGTGGCTGCCCCATCCCTGGAGTCCCCAAGGCTGGATGGGGTTTGGAGCACCATGGGAAGGGGCATGGGATGATCCTTAGGATCTTCCAACCCAAACCATTCCAGAATTCCATAAAAAATCCCAGTTTAGGACCCCAGACTCATTCCCAGCCTGTAAATTCCCAGAGAATCCATGGCTGCCCCATCCCTGGAGTGCCCAAGGCTGGATGGGGTTTGGGGCACCATGGGACCATGGGAAGGGGCATGGGCTGGGAATGGGATGATCCTTAGGATCTTCCAGCCCAAACCATTCCAGAATTCCATAAAAAATCCCAGTTTAGGACCCCAGACCCATTCCCAGAGAATCCGTGGCTGCCCCATCCCTGGAGTCCCCAAGGCTGGGTGGGCTTTGGGACACCATGGGAAGGGGCATGGGGTGGCAATGATCCTTAGGATCTTCCAACCCAAACCATTCCAGAATTCCATAAAAAATCCCAGTTTCAGGACTCCTGATGCATTCCCAGAGAATCCGTGGCTGCCCCATCCCTGGAGTCCCCAAGGCTGGATGGGGTTTGGAGCACCATGGGAAGGGACATGGGGTGGGAATGGGATGATCCTTAGGATCTTCCAACCCAAACCATTCCAGGATTCCATAAAAAAATCCCAGTTTAGGACCCCAGACTCATTCCCAGCCTGCAAATTCCCAGAGAATCCGTGGCTGCCCCATCCCTGGAGTCCCCAAGGCTGGATGGGGTTTGGAGCACCATGGGAAGGGACATGGGGTGATCCTTAGGATCTTCCAACCCAAACCATTCCAGAATTCCATAAAAAAATCCCAGTTTAGGACCCCAGACTCATTCCCAGCCTGCAAAGTCCCAGAGAATCCTTGGCTGCCCCATCCCTGGAGTCCCCAAGGCTGGATGGGGTTTGGAGCACCATGGGAAGGGGCATGGGATGATCCTTAGGATCTTCCAACCCAAACCATTCCAGAATTCCATAAAAAATCCCAGTTTAGGACCCCAGACCCATTCCCAGAGAATCCTTGGCTGCCCCATCCCTGGAGTCCCCAAGGCTGGATGGGGTTTGGGGCACCATGGGAAGGGACATGGGGTGATCCTTAGGATCTCCCAACCCAAACCATTCCAGAATTCCATAAAAAATCCCAGTTTCAGGACTCCTGATGCATTCCCAGAGAATCCTTGGCTGCCCCATCCCTGGTGTGTGCCACTCCTGTTTGGAGCAACCTGGCACAGGGCAAAGTGTCCCTGGATGATCCTCAGAGTCCTTCCAAGCCAAGGAGCACTGAGAGCCCTCAATCCCAAATTCCCTCAGTGCTGGGAGGAATTCTGGAGGCTTTTCCCCCTCTCCTTGATGTCTCTTTGATTCCTGGCTTGGATTTTTCTGCCCTCAGACAAAGCTGCCAAGCCCATCGAGGAGATCAGAGTGAAAACCCTGGAGGAAATCCGCTTGGAAAGAGCCAACCAGAGGAGAGGGGAACCCCCAGCCAAAATCCCAGGAGAAGGAAGGAAAACTGAAGATCCAAATTTAGGAGCAAAACCCTCCCCTGCTGCCCGCAGCAAATCCCTGATGGGAGCCCTGGTGGAAAAAAACCACAAAAGGTTGGGAGAGGAGAAGGAAAAACCCGAGGAATTCGGCAGCAGGGCCAAAAGTGAGGCAGATGCCAGGAAACAGAACATTCCTGCTCCAGCTGGGGCAGGCAGGGTGCAGCTGGCAGAGCCTGGCAGAGCCAAAGGAGCTGGAGAAGTTCGGATCAAAACCCTGGAGGAGATCAAGAGGGAGAAGGCGCTGAGGCTGCAGCAGAGCGGGGAGAACGTCCCTGCCAGCCCTGGCCAGGCCGAGGCTGCTGTGAGGGGCAGGAAACTGCTCAGGGTCACCAAGCTCCTGGGTGAGCAGGGATCCAGCCCCTGGGAAGGCTCATTGTCCCCTGGGAATGCTCATTGTCCCCTGGGAATGCTCATTGTCCCCTGGGCGCTGGGGTTGTCCCTGGGAGCTGGGGTTGTCCTTGGGAATTGTGCTGCTCCCCCCTGGGAGTTCCAGTTCTGCTTCTCCTTGGGAGCTGGGGTTGTCCCCTGGGAGCTGGGGTTGTCCCTTGGGAGCTGGGATTGTCCCTTGGGGGTTGGGATTGTCCTTGGGAGCTGGGATTGTCCCCCTGGGAGTTGGGATTGTCCTTGGGAATTGTGCTGCTCCCCCCTGGGAGTTCCAGTTCTGCTTCTCCTTGGGAGTTGGGATTGTCCCCAACTATTGTCCCTTGGTAGTTGGGGTTGTCCCTTGGGAATTGGGGTTGTCCCTTGGGAGTTCTGGTTGTCCCTTTGGGAGTTGTGGTTGTCCCTTGGGAGTTGGGATTGTCTTTGGGAGTTCTGGTTGTCCCTTGGGAGTTCTGGTTGTCCCCTGGGAGCTGGGATTGTCCCTTGGGAGCTGGGATTGTCCTTGGGAGTTGGGGTTGTCCCTTGGGAGTTCTGGTTGTCCTTGGGAATTGTGCTTCTCCCCCCTGGGAGTTCCAGTTCTGCTTCTCCTTGGGAGTTGGGATTGTCCCCAACTATTGTCCCTTGGGAATTGGGGTTGTCCCTTGGGAGTTCTGGTTGTCCCTTTGGGAGTTGTGGTTGTCCCCTGGGAGCTGGGGTTGTCCCCTGGGAGCTGGGGTTGTCCTTGGGAGCTGGGATTGTCCCCTGGGAGCTGGGATTGTCCCCTGGGAGCTGGGATTGTCCTTGGGAGCTGGGATTGTCCCTTGGGAGTTGGGGTTGTCCTTGAGAGTTGGGGTTGTCCCCTGGGAGCTGGGGTTGTCCTTGGGAATTGTGCTTCTCCCCCCTGGGAGTTCCAGTTCTGCTTCTCCTTGGGAGCTGGGGTTGTCCCTGGGGAGTTGTGGTTGTCCCTTGGGAATTGGGGTTGTCCTTGGGAGTTGGGTTTGTCCTTGGGAATTCTGCTTTTCCCCCCTGGGAGTTCCAGTTCTGCTTCTCCTTGGGAGCTGGGGTTGTCCCTTGGGAGCTGGGATTGTCCCCTGGGAGTTGGGATTGTCCTTGGGAATTGTGGTTGTCCCTTGGGAGCTGGGATTGTCCTTGGGAATTGTGCTTTTCCCCCCTGGGAGTTCCAGTTCTGCTTCTCCTTGGGAGTTGTGGTTGTCCTTGGGGAGTTCTTCTCCTCCTTGGGAATTATGGTTTCCACCTGGGAATTCTGCTCCTCCTTGGGAATTCTGATTCCCCTGGGAATTGTGGTTTCCACCTGGGAATTCTGATTCCCTTTGGGAATTCTGCTTCTCCTTGGGAACTGATTCCCTTTGGGAATTCTCCTTCCCCCCCAGGAGTTGTGATTGTCCTTGGGAGTTCTGATTGTCCTTGGGAACTGATTCCCTTTGGGAGTTCTGCTTCCCCCCTGGGAATTCTGCTCCCTCTTAGGAATTCTGCTCCCACTGGGAATTGTGCTCCTCCCTGGGAGTTCTGCGTTTCCTTAGGAATTCTGATTGTTCTTGGGAATTCTCATTCCCCTGGGAATTCTGATTCTTTTTGGGAATTCTGCTCCCCTTTGGGAGTTGGGCTTTTCCTTGGGAATTGTGATTTCCTTTGAGAACTCTGATTCTCCTGGGAATTCTGCTCCTCCTTGGGAATTGTGCTTTCATTTGGAAGTTCTGCTTCTCCTTGGGAATTTCCCTCTTTTTATTCTGCCCTGGATTTTGTATGGTGGAATCCATCCCATTCCCCTTTGGAATATTGTTTGGGAAGGATTTATCCATTTCTGAGCAATAATTATTGTAATAATAACAGTAATGATGATGGTGCTCAATGGTGGGACTGAAGGAGAGAGAAAATCCTGCAGGAATTGCTTCAATAAAATAAAAATAGGGAAATAAAATAGGGAAACACCCCCCCCCCAAGAAAACAAAAAAACCAATTTTTGGATGTTTTTTCTTGGTTTAAAGCACCTGGAAGAGAAGAAAAAATGATTGTGGAGCTGAACAAACCTTCCCCCAAAAATGGCTCTGCCCCTGCTGAGGTGAGTCTGAACAAATTTATAACAAAAATTTCACTTTTCTGATCAGCTCCTCCCATTTCCATAGGTTTTTATCAATAGATTTTTTTCCCCTAAGAACCCTCTTGGTGTTTTTTGTTTTTTTTTTTTTTCCCTGTCAGAATTCAGGGAATTCTGGAATTCAGGTGAAGAGCCTGGAGGAAATCATGTGGGAGAAACGGCAGCAGAAACAACGGCAGGAGGAGAAACTGCAGCAGGGAGCTGGGGCAGTTCCAGCTGAAAACCAGGAAAAAAAACAGGAGAAAAACCAGGAAAAAAACCAGGAAAAAACCCCAGGATCAGGGAGCCCTGAGGCTGCTGTGGGGTCAGCCCAGCTGGGCAGGAGGAGAGGAGGAAAAGCCCCCGAGGATGGAGGGGGAACCCCAGAGAAGGAGCCGGGGAAAAAGGGAGCTCAGCTGCCCGAGAGGAGAGGCAGAGGTGGGGCTGTGTGGGGTTTGTGGGGTTTGGGGTTTGTGGGGTGGGATTTGTGGGGTTGGGAGTGGTCTTTGTGGGGTTGGGGTTTAGGGGAATGATTTGTGTGGGGTTGGGGTTTAGGGGAATGATTTGTGTGGGGTTGGGGTTTAGGGGAATGATTTGTGTGGGGTTGGGAATGTTCAGTGTGGGTTTGGGGTTTAGGGGAATGTTCTGGGTTTGGGGTTTAGGGGAATGATTTGTGTGGGGTTGGGGTTTAGGGGAATGATTTGTGTGGGGTTGGGAATGTTCAATGTGGGTTTGAGGTTTGTGGGAATGGTCTGGGGTTGGTGTTTAGGGGAGTGGTCTGAGTTTGGGGTTTGTGGGATGGGCTGTGTGGGGTTTGTGGGATGGGCTGTGTGGGGTTGGGATTTAGGGGAATGATTTGTGTGGGGTTGGGAATGTTCAGTGTGGATTTGGGGTTTGTGGGAATGGTCTGGAGTTGGGGTTTAGGGGAATGGTCTGGGGTTGGTGTTTAGGGGAGTGGTCTGGGGTTGGGGTTTGTGGGATGGTCTGTGTGGGGTTGGGATTTAGGGGAATGATTTGTGTGGGGTTGGGAATGTTCAGTGTGGGTTTGGGGTTTAGGGGAATGTTCTGGGTTTGGGGTTTAGGGGAATGTTCTGGGTTTGGGGTTTGTGGGGTGGGCTGTGTGGGGTTGGGAATGTTCAGTGTGGGGTTGGGATTTATGGGATGGTCTGTGTGGGGTTGGGGTTAGTGGGAATGATCTGGAGTTGGGATTTGTGGGAATGTTCTGCGGTTGGGTGTTCCTGGGAGTGTTTTGGGGTTGGAGTTTGTGGGAATGGTCTGTGAGGAGTTGGGGTTTATGGGAGTGTTCTGGGGTTGAGGTTTATGGTAAAGCTCAGTGTGGGGTTGGGATTAGTGGGAATGGTCTGGGGTTGGGGTTTGTGGGGCAACTCAGTGTGGGGTTGGGGCTTGTGGGAATGCTCAGTTTGGGGTTGGGTTGGGGTTTAGGGAGGCAGAGGTGAGGGCTTGATAAGGGGGTTTGATAGATAAAGGGATTTAATGAGTAAAGGGATTTGATGAAGGGATTTGATTGATAAAGGGATTGATAAAGGAAGGGGTTTGATTGATAAAGGAAGGGGTTTGATTGATAAAGGAATGGATTTGATTGATAAAGGAAGGGGTTTGATAGTTAAATTTTCCCTCTCCTTTCCCTTTTTTCCCTCCTTTTCTCTCCATCCCAGCCAAATCCAAGGTGTGCCTGAAGCCCCTGGATGCCAAAGCTCCTCCCAAGCAGCCCCTGAAGAGGAAGGGCCCTGAGGGCCACCCCCCTGCTGTGGTGGCAGTGAAGCCACTCAGTGCCACCAGCGGGGACACCCAGGAGTCCCCAGCCAAGGTAAGGCCCCAAATCTCCCCAAATTCCCCCAAAAAAAAAACCCTGGAAAACTGAAATTTTCTCCAGCTCTCCCAGCCCTTTTCACCCCAGGAATCTCAAGGGCAGCACATTCCTGCTTTGGAGGCATCTCCAGAATTCCCTGCTGGGATTTGGGAAGGATTTTTCTCCTTTCCAAGGCAAAAATTCCTTTTCAAAAACCCCAGATTCCTTATTTCAGGAGTGTCCTGCTTCAGGTGAAGCACAAAAGGAAGAATTTTCCTAAAATTTGTGATTTTTTTAGATCCTAAAAATTCTCAGGTTCTCCAGAATTCCCTGCTGGGATTTGGGAAGGATTTTTATCCTTTCCAAGGCAAAAATTCCTTTTCAAAAACCCCAGATTCCTTATTTCAGGAGTGTCCTGCTTCAGGTGAAGCAGAAAAGGAAAAATTTGGGTTTTTTTAGATCCTAAAACTTGTCCTGCTCCTCATTGTCAGGTTGTTCCCCCTTCTCCAGACAACAGCCTGGACTCCAACCCTCGGAGGGAGAATTCCCAGAGCAGGTAACCCCAAATCCCAACCCCAAATTCCCTTTTCCCTCCTGACCCCAGGGATGGGATGTGGGGTGGGCACCAGGGGAAATCCCAGCTTTGAGGGAAATCAGGCCCAAAATCCTACAGAGGAACATTTAATTGCAATTCATGTCTGTGCAGCAGAGCTGCTTTGGGGTTCTACAAATGCTGCACGTGGACACTCCCCAGAATTGATCCTGGGCTCCCAAAATTGATCCTGGGCTCCCAAAATTGATCCTGGACTGCCAAAATTTATCCTGGACTTCCCAAAACTGGTCCTGGACTGCCAAAATTGATCCAGGTCTTCCAAAAACTGATGCAAGACCCCAAAACCAATCCTGAACTGCCAGAATTTATCCAGGACTTTCCAAAACTGATCCATGACTCCAGAATTGATCCAGGGCTCCCCAAACCCAGTCCCAGCCTCCCAAACCAAATCCAGGACTCCAAAATTGATCCTGACCTGCCAAAATTGACCCAGGACTTCCCAAACCAGTCAAGGACTCCCCAAACACAGTCCCAGCCTCCCAAAACTCAATCCAGGATTCCCGAAAACCAATCCAAGACTCCAAAATTGATCCTGAACTGCCTGAATTGATCCAGGACTCCCCAGACCCAATCCAGGACTCCCCAAACCCAATCCAGGACTCCCCACACCCAATCCAGGACTCCCCAAACCCCATCCAGCCCCCACCAAACCAATTCCAGCCCCCACCAAACCCAGCCCAGGACTCCCCAAACCCAATCCAGGACTCTCCAAACCCAATCCAGGACTCCCCAAACCCAATCCAGCCCCCACCAAACCCAATCCAGGACTCCCCAAACCCATCCCCACCCTCCCCAGTCCCCTCCCCCTGCAAACCCAAACCCTCAGTCTCCCCCTCAGGTCCCCCCTCGCTGACTCCTCCCTTCTGCTCTCCCCAGCCCTGAGCTGCAGCCTGGCACCCAGGGGGATTCCCTGGCACGGTCAGAGGTGTCTGGCTCTTCCTCCTCATCCTCCTCATCCACATCCTCCTCCTCCTCCTCCTCCCTGGAGGCTCCCCTGAAGCTGCGGCGCCTGAGCTCGGCCGGCGGCGCCAAGGCCGCGCTCTCGGTGGAGGACGACTTTGAGAAACTCATCTGGGAGATCTCTGGGGGAAAACTGGAGGCAGAAATCGACCTGGATCCAGGCAAGGATGAGGATGATCTCCTGCTGGAACTGTCTGAGATGATTGACAGCTGAGAGGGGAGGTTTTTTGGAAGAAAAAAACAAAACAAAAATGGGGAAAGAAGACGCGACACCAAAAAAAAAAAAAAAAAAAACACCACCCTGAAAAAACAAAATTTTCTCCTCACCTCCCACAAAAATCCTGTAAATGTTGTTGGATCTGTGGAGGAGACCCTGCCCCAGCTGGAAGCACAGTTGGATTGTTAGGATTAGGCAGAGTCTGCTCTCAGTTATCCCAAAATTCCGGGCTGAGTTTGTCCCCCCACGGGACAGGACAGAGCACTTGGAACGCCCTGAGGGGCCACAGATCCCATCTCCAGAGCTTCCTCCTGGACAGAAAATCCCAAAAAATCCCTGGAGTTACTGTGTCAACTCTGGGAGCCACGGATGGACTCGCATTTGGGGGGAATTCAGGGAAAAGAGGCAAAATCTGAGGCAGGATTTTGGACCAAAGCCTGCCAGGGTGAGCCTGGCTCGGGATGGTCTGGGGGATTTTTTTCCATGGGGGAAAGCAAAATTCCTCCTGGGATTTTGGAAAAGGAACATTGCTTCAAGTGCCTCTGCGTTCTGAGGATTTCTCCCTGCAATGAACCTCCCACATCCAGCTGGGATCATTTTTGGAGGGGAAAAAGATCAAACACCTGGAATGTTCCCCCTTGGCTGCTCCCTCTTTTCCAGCCCTTTGGAGATGGGATTGAGTGAAATCCCCGTGGGGGTTTTTTTTCCATTTTGTTTTGGGATTTGTTTTTTTTTTGTTTTTCTGTAAATATTTTATTCTTCCATTTTATATTTGTATGATTCTATTTAAGGGATTAAAGGTAGGCTGCTCACTGTGTGGTGTCCGTGGGTTTTTTAAGGAATGGCACCAAAGAGATTGGGAATGCTGAGTGTTAATTAGGAATTAATGAGGGGCTGGAAAATCCTGAGGGCGCTGGGAAGGGTTTGGAGAGAATCTTGAGGGAGCTGGGAAAAATTTGGAGGAGTTGAGGGAGCCAGGGAAAGCTTTGGGGAGTCCTGAGGGAACAGGGAAGGGTTTGGAAAAATCCTGAGGGAGATGGGAAGGGTTTTGAGGAGCTGAGGGAACCAAGGAAGGGTTTGGAGAGATCTGGAAAGGGTTTGGGGAGTCCTGAGGGAACCAGGGAAGGGTTTGGAGAGAAGCTTGACAGAGATGGGAGAGGTTTGAGGGAAAGCTTTGGAGAGTCCTGGGGCAGCTGGGGAAGGTTTGGAGGAGCTGAGGGGCACCAAGGAAGAGTTTGGAGAATCCCAAGGGAGCTGGGAAGGGTTTGGAGAAATCTTGAGGGAGATGGGAAAGGTTTGGCGGAGCTGAGGGAACTGGGCAAGGGTTTGGAGAGTCCTGAGGGAGCTGGGAAGGGTCTGAGGGAGCTGGGAAGGGTCTGGGAAGGGTCTGAGGGAGCTGGGAAAGGGTTGGAGAAATCCTGAGGGAGCTGGGAAGGGAATGGAGAAACCTGAGGAAACCAGGGAAGGGTTTGGAGAGAATCTTGAGGGAGAGGGGAAAGGTTTGGAGGAGCTGAGGGAGCTGGGAAGGGTTTGGAGAGTCCTGAGGGAGCTGGGCAGGGGCTCAGCCTGGAGCAAAGGAGGCTCAGGGGGAATTTCTGGCTCTGCACAACTCCCTGCCAGGAGGGGACAGCCAGGGGGATTTGGGATCTTATCCCAGGGAACAGGGACAGGAGGAGAGGGAATGGGGCCATGGGAGATGTTTCAGGGATTTTTTTGCTTTCTTCTTGAGGGACAAATGAACAGGAAAGCTGCGGTGCTGTAAGAGCACAAAAATCACTTTATTTGAAAGTTGAGTGTTTTAGGACATAGCTCTGAGCTAGGGGAATATTTTTAGGGAATTTTTTTAAAATGAATTATGGTAATTAAACCCAAATAAAAGAATGGCATAAAACCCCGTAATACTAGCAAGAAAAAACCTACTAAGAGAAAAAAAAAATTCTAAAAATAATGATAAAAAAGTAAGAAAAAAAGGCCGCCCTCACACCGCCACTATCCCACAGTGCCCCGCGGTGCCATCCCCTCACACCGCCACTATCCCACAGCGCCCCGTGTCCCCATCCTGTTCCGCCACTATCCCACAGTGCCCCGCGGTGCCATCCCCTCACACCGCCTCTATCCCACAGCGCCCCGTGTCCCCATCCTGTTCCGCCACTATCCCACAGTGCCCCGCGTTCCTCCATTCCCCTCACACCGCCACTATCCCACAGTGCCCCGTGCTCCTCCATCCCCTCACACCGCCGCTATCCCACAGTGCCCCGTGTTTCCCATCCTGTTCCGCCGCTATCCCACAGTGCCCCGCGTTCCTCCATTCCCCTCACACCGCCTCTATCCCACAGTGCCCCGTGTCCCCATCCTGTTCCGCCGCTATCCCACAGTGCCCCGCGCTCCTCCATCCGCTCACACCGCCGCTATCCCCTCACACCGCCACTGTCCCACAGCGCCCCGCACGGTGCCGCTCCCGTTCCTCCACTATCCCACAGTGCTCTTTATTTCCCCATCCTGTTCCGCCGCCATCCCACAGTGCCCCGCGCTCCTCCATCCCCTCGCACCGCCGCTCTCCCACAGTGCCCCTCGGCCCCGCGCAGCCATGGCGTACCGCGGGCAGGGCCAGAAGGTGCAGAAGGTGATGGTGCAGCCCATCGTATCCTACATTGCCGCCAGCGCTGAGGGCACCGGGGGAGCGCGGGGAGGCTGCGGGGAGCGCGGGGCTGGCGGGCGGGAAGGGAGCGGGGCGGGCGGGTTCCATGGCGGGGTCAAGGCCCCACTCGCGAGGTCCCCTCAGGGCTTCGGGTCCCGTCCCGGCCGTGCCCGGGGCTCCCGGCTGTGCTGTGCCCTTAACGCTCGGCTCCAGAACCTGATCTTCCGCTACCTGCAGAACGTGAGTGAATCACCGCGGAGAGGGACCCCAAATGCCACCCGGTGTCAGCCCTGCCATGGCAGCGACACCGTCCCCTGGGCCAGGCTGCTCCTGCCCGGCCTGGGACATGCCAGGGATGGGGATTCTGTGGGAATTTGCAGGCTGGGAATGAGTCTGGAGTCCTGAAATTGGGATTTTTTATGGAGTTTTGGAATGGTTTGGGTTGGAAGATCCTAAGGATCATCCCATTGCCAGTCCTGCCATGGGCAGCACCTTCCCTTGGGCCAGGCTGCTCCAGGCCGGCCTGGGACACCCAGGGATGGGGCAGCCTCAGATTCTGTGAGAATTGGCAGGCTGGGAATGAGTCAGGAGTCCTAAACTGGGATTTTTTATGGAATTCTGAAATGGTTTGGGTTGGAAGATCCTAAGGATCATTCCATTCCCAGCCCTGCCATGGCAGGGACACCTTCCACCATCCAAGGGTGCAGTTTTATCTTTTTTATCCGTTTTATAAATTTTATCCATTTTATCCACTGTCCAACCCAGCCTGGGACACTCCCAGAGATGGAGCAGCCACAGCTCCTCAGGGAATTCCACCCCAGCCCCTCTCAGAGAGCAATTCCTTCCCAAAACCCCATTTAAACCCCATTTAATCCATCCAAACACCAGAGCAGTCCCTGCTGCTCCTCCCACTGCCATCCCACAGGACATTCCCAGGGAACCCCCCCTGATTTGGGGGTGAGGATGGGCCCTGAACCCCCCAGGGCCCCCCCAGAGGTGTTTTTGGTGCCTTGCAGAGATCCAGGATCCAGGTGTGGCTCTATGAGCAGGTGAACATGAGGATCGAGGGCTGCATCATCGTGAGTGCCACTGTCCCCTTGTCACCCCCCCTGCTCTGGGGTCACCCCTCTGCCTTTTCCCCTCCCCTGAACCCATTTCTGCCTTGTGCTTCTGCTGGCAATTGCAGAGTTCGGGGCTTTTGGGGTTTCTTTCTGGGGGTGAGGGTTGGGGTTTTTTGTATTTTTTTAGGACTTTTTTGGGGAGGGGTTTGGGGTTTTTTGGAGTTTTTTGAGGCTTTTTTGTTTTGTTTTGTATTTGGTTTTTTAGGGGGGAGTGGAGGGGTTTTTTGAGTATTTTTTTGTTTTGTTTTTTGGGTTTTTTTTTGTTTTGGGTTTTTTTGTTCTTTGGGGTTTTTTAATTTTTTTGGGTTTTGGGCTTTTTTAATTTTTTGAGGGTTTTGGTGGGTTTTTTTTTTGTTTTGGTTTTTTTTCAATTTTTGGGGGTTTGGGTGGGTTTTTGTTTTTTTTGTTTTTTTTGTTTTTTTTTTTGGGTTTTTTGGAGGGGGTGGAGTTTTTTGGGGGGATTTGGGGTTTTTAGGGGTTTTTTTGGATTTTCACTGAGGTTGGTGCTGCTCCTGCAGGGCTTTGATGAGTACATGAACCTGGTGCTGGACGATGCTGAGGAAATTCACTCCAAAACCAAATCCAGGAAGCAGCTGGGTAGGGCAGGGCGGTGGGGAAGCCTGGAATTGGGGGGTGGGACCTGAAATCCGGGGCTGGGGTCCTAAATATCAGGTGTGGGATCCTGGAATTCAGGTGTTGGACCCTAAAATCCCAACGTGGGAGCCTGGAACCTGGATGTGGGGCCTTAAATCCTGCTGGGATCCAGGCTTTGGGATTGGGATCCAGGTTTTGGGGTTGGGTTCCAGCTGTGGGATTGGGATCCAGGTTTTGGGGTCAGGATCCAGGTTTTGGGGCCAGGATCCAGGCTTTGGGATTGGGCTCTGGCTGTGGGTTTGGAATTCAGGTTTTGGGATTGAGATCCAGGTTTTGGGGTTGGGCTCCAGTTTTGGGGCCAGGATCCAGCTGTGGGATTGGGCTCCAGGTTTTGGGATTGGGCTCCAGCTGTAGGATTGGGATCCAGGTTTGAGGCCAGCATCCAGGTTTTGGGGCCAGGATCTAGGTTTTGGGATTGGAATCCAGCTGTGGGATTGAGATCCAGGTTTTGGGATTGGCCTCCAGCTGTGGGGCTGGGATCCAGGTTTTGGGATTGGGCTCCAGGTGTGGGATTGGGCTCCAGCTGTGAGATTGGGATCCAGGCTTTGGGGTTGGAATCCAAATTTTGGGGTTGGAATCCAGCTGTGGGGTTGGAATCCAGCTGCAGGATTGGGCTCCAGGTTTTGGGGCTGAAATCCAGGTTTTGGGGCTGGGCTCCAGCTGTGGGATTGGGCTCCAGCTGTGGGTTTGGAATTCAGGTTTTGGGATTGAGATCCAGGTTTTGTGATTGAGATCCAGGTTTTGGGGTTGGGCTCCAGGTTTTGGGGCCGAGCTCCAGCTGTGGGATTGGGTTCCAGGTTTTGGGGCCGAGCTCCAGCTGTGGGATTGGGCTCCAGCTGTGGTTCCAGGCTCCATCTGTGGGGCTGGGTGGGTTTTGGGGCGCTCCCACCCCAAAACTCGCGCCCATTCCCGCTCCCGTTGGGTTCCAGGTCGGATCATGCTGAAGGGGGACAACATCACCCTCCTGCAGAGTGTCTCCAGTTAGGGGCAGGCTGCTCCAACTGGGAATGGGATTGGGAACGCTGCAAAAACGGGATGAGCCATGGGGGAAACCCCTCAGCTCCTCTGGGAGTCGTGTTTTGTAGTTTGGGCTTTTCTTTGGGCAATAAAACGGGGTTTTTGTAATAAAGTCTGGGAATGGGGTTTCAGTCTCGGGGTGGGGGAAATGTTTTCCAAGGGTTTTTCCCTGTGGGGTTGGATCTGGGGGTTCAGGTTTTCCCAGACCAAGCCCTTTATCCCAAAAACAATCCCTTCTTCCCCAAATCAATCCCATCTTCCTGAAAACCATCCCTTCTTCCCCAAATCAATCCCATCTTCCTGAAAACCATCCCTTCTTCCTCAAATCAATCCCATCTTCCCCAAACCCATCCCTTCTTCCCAAAAATAATCCTTAATTTCCCAG